TCCCAAACCGCATTCCCGACCCAAACTACGTCCGAGTCTTCGACACAACCCTCCGCGACGGCGAACAATCCCCCGGAGCCACGCTCACCTCCAAAGAAAAGCTCGACATCGCGCGCCAGCTCGCGAAGCTAGGCGTCGACGTGATCGAAGCCGGATTCCCCGCCGCATCCAAAGACGACTTCGAAGCAGTCAAAACCATCGCCGAAACCGTCGGAAACTCCTTTTCCGACGACGGTTACGTCCCCGTGATCTGCGGACTCTCGAGATGTAACAAGAGAGACATCGAGACGGCTTGGGAGGCTGTCAAGTACGCTAAGCGGCCGAGGATCCATACGTTCATCGCCACGAGTGATATTCATTTAGAGTATAAATTGAAGAAGAGCAAAAAAGAAGTTATTGAGATCGCGAGGGAGATGGTTAAGTTCGCGAGGAGCTTAGGGTGTGAGGACGTTGAGTTTAGTCCTGAAGATGCTGGAAGGTTTTTATTTTGTGAGAATGAGAATCTTATTTGATTCCTTGGCTAATGATTCGTATCTTTTTTTTTTGTTTTTTGGAAAGATCGGAGAGGGAGTTTTTGTATGAGATACTTGGGGAAGTGATAAAAGCTGGAGCGACGACGCTTAATATACCTGATACTGTTGGTATAACGTTGCCTAGTGAGTTTGGTCAGTTGATTGCTGATATTAAAGCTAATACTCGTGGGATTGATGATGTTGTTATCTCAACTCATTGTCAGAATGATCTTGGGCTCTCCACTGCCAACACTTTAGCTGTATTGTCAACTCTTCTTTCTCTTGGATTAGCTTAGCTGAGAAATGATCTCAGCTCATTCGTTTTTTTTTTTAATTCAGGGTGCACATTCGGGTGCGAGGCAAGTGGAAGTGACTATCAATGGAATTGGTGAAAGAGCTGGAAATGCTTCACTAGAAGAGGTTTGATGAGCATTCATAATCATTTAGTGTTGCATTTGAATACTTATTTTGTTTACCTAAAGATTTTATTTGTGACTGTTTAGGTTGTGATGGCCATAAAATGCCGTGGAGATCATGTACTTGGAGGCCTGTATACTGGAATTGATACTCGGCACATTGTTATGACAAGCAAGATGGTACAGTTTTGAATTTTGTTTAGCTCTGAAGACAAGCTAATTTTCTTGCCTTGAGAAGGGGAAAGAGTTTGTAGATTGACAAAGATAAGGTGTGTTTCATAACGTGTGGATTGATTTCTCAGGTTGAAGAATACACTGGAATGCATACGCAGCCCCATAAGGCTATTGTAGGAGCGAATGCCTTTGCGCATGAAAGTGGTATTCATCAGGTCAGTTGATGAAAAGCATATTTGTAATAATGTATTTAGATTATTCTGTGACGAGATTACTCTTTTTGAGAAACATTAAAGGTTGTTCGCATTAATCTGTTTGTTTTTCTCTTTGCAAAGTATAACTTTCCTTCTAGGCTGTAGCTTGCTTATGTTTCAATCCCTTAGCATCCATTGCCTGAGCTATTAATAGGATGAATATACTTTAAGCTATATACTCTTCTGACTTGCACGTTCACTCTTTCACTCTACTGCATAACTGTACAACTATCTTCATATTTGTTTCTCCAGTATCGCTTAATGAGTGTTCATGCTTCTTTTAGGATGGAATGCTCAAACACAAGGGTACATATGAAATTATATGCCCTGAAGAAATTGGTCTTGAACGATCTAATGATGCTGGCATTGTTTTGGGGAAGCTTAGGTATGAAAACTTTTTCTTGTTTAGCCTGTGTTTTACCTGTAAACTCCCAATCTGTATGTTATGTTCAGACAATGCAACAAACCAACAAGCCTGTAATCGGTGGATATACACCATTAGCCATTTAGTTTTATTTGCCAATTCATAAGCTAGTGTACACTACGTATATGCTTGAAACCCGAAGTCTGCTGTTGGTTTATGTTTTGTTTGGATATAATATTATGCAGTGGGCGTCATGCGTTGAAAGACCGTTTGACTGAGGTACACATCAAGCTTACCCCATACACATTCGCTAGTGCCATCTTTGTGGAAGACATTAATGTACTTTCGTATCTTTTATTTTACCAGCTTGGTTATGAACTAGATGATGAACAACTAAGTTCCATATTCTGGCGCTTCAAATCTGTAGCTGAGCGGAAAAAGGTAGTTTGGTTTATCTGTGATCATCCATTCAAACTTAGAGTTGTGTTTCCAATGTCCAACTGATAGTCTGATAGTATATGCTACTTTCATGATCCAGAGAGTTACCGACGCAGATATAATAGCTTTGGTTTCTGATGAGGTTTTCCAGCCAGAAGCTCTGTGGAAACTCCTGGACATTCAGGTGAAATTGGGATCAAGATGATCTTTATTGTACTCGTTGAGTTGTGTTCATTTTCTTTAGTCAGTTCTCAACTTCTCCTTATGCAGATAACTTGTGGGACTCTGGGGCTTTCAACAGCAACCGTTAAACTTGCGGATGCTGATGGCAAAGAGCATGCCGCTTGTTCTATGGGAGCTGGGCCTGTCGATTCAGCTTATAAGGCAATCGATCTTATTGTCAAGGTACTTTTTCACACAAACGTGGCTCGCATATATACATATAACTTCCACCTGTATATCATCGGTTATTTAAAAACTTCATTTTCCATAATGTAGGAACCAGCGACTCTGCTTGAGTACTCAATGAATGCAGTAACAGAAGGCATCGATGCCATTGCAACCACAAGAGTTCTTATCCGAGGAAACAACATTTACTCCACTACAAATGCACTCACTGGTGAAGAAGTTCAAAGAACCTTCAGGTAAAATTCGTCTTCCTCACATCTAACTTCACCCCAGTGCAAATATCATATTTATAGTCTCTTTTTGGCAGTGGAACCGGAGCGGGAATGGACATTGTGGTGTCGAGTGTCAAAGCTTATGTAGGAGCTTTGAACAAAATGCTCGACTTCAAAGAGAAGTCCCCAACAAAAATCCCTTCTCCAAACAACAAAGTACCTGCCTGAATCAAAGTCGTTTCTGGTCTAGGTACATAGTTTGGTTATTATAACGAGAGTTCAAAGTTTGCATATTGTTTTAATGAAGTATCTTGCCGAAAGAGTTTGTTTACTATAAAATATTAATATAACTTAAAATATCTATATTTAGAAATAATTGTGCTCTTGGTATTAACAAAACCAAACGGTTAACAGTTTAACCTGTCCCTAAAAGCTGTCATTAAACTAAACTTGGGTCTTAAAAACTGAAAGACACCTGATAGCTCTCTGTTCTTGTTTTACTTATTTGATAATTCTACGTTTATCAAGGATCTAAAACATAACTTTCTCTGCAAATCCCTTTATGCTTTTGGATTTGAGAATAACAAGGGAGATAATAAAATGTCGGAGCTAAGAACCGGGTTCCTAACAATGGCGACCATAGTCCTTATATGCCTAGGATTAACGATGACAGGAACAGGTTTATATCACAGGAAAATAGTGTCAAAATGCATCCAAGAAAGCGATGGCAGTTTCATCTTCATTGGCATGCTCTTGCTAGTGTTTCCTCAGTTTGGTCTTTACGCAATCTGTTGTCGATCAAAACGTATCTTCACTTTTTACATATATGCCATGATGTTCGTCTTCATTGTCCTTAGTTGCTACTCTTTAAAATGTTTTATCTACAACACAACTTTTGGCATCGCCAAGAATCCAGCTGAGGAAACCAGGACCGTCAAGCAGTTGCTCGGGCGTTTAGTCCCTCCAAGCAAACTCGACAGAGCCACGGGCTGTATCGTTGAGAATCATGATTGCAACTTCAACGCCAGCCTAAACAGCAATGTCTGGGTAAAGCTCTTCTCATTCATTTATGAGATAAAAAGATCAAACTCTAATAATGATGATGAGTATGTAATGTACAGAGGTTTTGCTGCGCGCAACCAGCAGGATGTGGAGAGAGGACAATGTTCGGTGCACCAGGAGAATGGAGTTGGAAACGGCAACACATAGCGAACGATGTCCCTGAAGAATGTGCTTACAATTACTGTCTTGATTGCAGAGGTTGCCAGCTCAGCATCTTGAAAGCCATTGTTCATCAATGGAAGTATCTCTCCATCTTCTCTTATCCTTCATTATTTCTCGTTTGTCTCAGCCTCGCCATTGCCAAGTCCCTTCTTGACACTTTCGATGAACCTGATGATTATCGTGGCTCTTATACTTAGATTCATAATCTTCCATTTCATGTACTCATATTCTAGTATTTTCTATAGATATATTATCAATGTAACTCTTTTTTTTTTGTGTATTGTAATATAAGCATTACTGTAGTCTATAGATAGTCAAATTAGTCATAGAATCTAATATAACTATTAACTACTATCTCTAAACTAAAGTATCTTCTGAATCCCACACGTTCTCTAATATCCCCCCACTACCTCAAAAATCAACCGTTCCCTGTATCCCATAATAACCACGACTCCACACACACTAAAACGTTACAGAACATAATTACAAAACTTGAAAAACAAACCTCTCAAGAGAAGAAAAAGATAATCACAAAATGTTTCGAGTAAGCAATTTCGTGGTGGGTCTAGCCAACACGTTGGTGATGATAGTGGGCGCATCAGCCATAGGTTACTCGATCTACATGTTCGTTCACCAAGACGTGACAGACTGTGAATCTGCTATACGTGCACCACTTCTCACGACTGGGATCGTCCTCTTTGGTGTGTCTTTAATCGGAGTGATAGGATCTTGGTTCAAGGAGAATCTCGCCATGATCTCCTACTTGATCATATTGTTTGCTGGCATTGTTGCGCTTATGGTTTTCTCTGTGTTTGTCTTCTTTGTGACCAACAAAGGAGCCGGTCATGTTGTCTCTGGTCGAGGGTATAGAGAGTACAGGACGGTTGATTTCTCGACTTGGCTTAATGGTTTTGTTGGTGGGAAGAGATGGGTTGGTATAAGGTCTTGTTTGGCTGAGGCTAGCGTTTGTGATGATTTGAGTGATGGTCGTGTTAGTCAGATCGCTGATGCGTTTTATCACAAGAACTTGTCTCCAATCCAGGTTTATTTATTTATACTCCCTCCATTATTTCAAATTAGTTATTCTTGTGGCAAAAAAATTTAATCACAAAATAAATGTCTTTTATATTTCAATGCGTTTTTTTCTATTATTTGACATTTTCTACCCCTATTTAAGCTAAAATAAATAAGAAATGTTATGTAATTATAATGGTCAAACAAGGATTATATTTAACTAGTTTTTAAATTTGTGTGCAAAATTCTAGAATGATGACTAATTTAAAACGAATGGTGTATTTTCTATTAAAATATAATGGTCTAGAGTTTTCCTAAAATGTTTCAAATTTTTTTCCCATAAGTTAAAAAAAAATATTAAATTTGATTATAAATCTTTTGTAATTACTTGCTGATAGAAACTCACTAAATAGTTGCAAAAAAAAAAACTCACTAAATATAATTATTTTTGTATAAAAAAAAGGGAATAAATTATTTACAAACTAATCATTTTGAAACAATCTTTATATTCAAGAACATGCATTGTTCTGTTATTAGTGTTTTACGTAATTTTATTACCATAATACATGAACAAAACCTCCTTCATTTTCGTATTAATACTAATGTTTCTGAGTTTCTCGCAGTCGGGTTGTTGTAAGCCACCGTCGGATTGCAACTTTACGTTCAGAAACGCGACGTTTTGGATACCGCCTTCCAAAAACAAAACCGCGGTTGCGACCAACAACGGTGACTGCGTTACGTGGAGTAACGTGCAGACGGAGTTATGCTTTAACTGCAACGCGTGCAAAGCGGGTGTGTTAGCGAACATAAGAGAGAAGTGGAGGAATCTTCTTGTTTTCAACATCTGTCTCCTCTTTCTCCTCATCACCGTTTATTCTTGCGGTTGCTGTGCTCGTCGTAACAATCGTACGGCTAGGAAAAGTGATTCTGCATAATCACTTCATTTACATTCGTGTCTTTTTTTCTTTCTTTGTTTGTTGTTAATTATCTCCTTTGTTTCTTCTGACAATGTAATGTTTGTTTCTAACCTATCAATATGAATTATTCGTAACTATTCGTAAATATCCAAATATTTATAACATGTCATATTTCTAATTACAATATAACTTTTTTAAATTAATATATATTAATTTTTTTAATAATATAGTTCAAATTGAATTTTTAGTTTAATTAATATATTGATAAATTTATAATTTTTATAAATTAATAATTTTTATAAATTAATAATTTTTATAAATTAATAGCTTCTGTAAATTAATAAAAATTATACTTTTAATGTAATCTCAACATTATTAATTTATAGAAGATTCAATATATACATTGATTTCTTGATTAAGGGGACAAACATCTTGGTTTTTATTTCCTATTTTAATCAGTAACAATTAACTAATGCCACAAAGAGTACATTACATCATACAACAAAACAGTTTCAGAATTTCAAAATTGTAAAATCACCAAGAAAATAATTAAAACCGATCTTAATCTCCTCTCATTAATCTTCATTAATCTCTCATCTCATCTATCTCTCCTATTTTAGAGTTTTTTTTTTTGTTGCCAAAGAGAAAGACAATGGAAGATCAGATAAGACAATTACAAGACATATTCAATAGGTTCGACATGGACGGAGATGGAAGCTTAACCATCTTAGAACTCGCAGCACTTCTCCGGTCTCTTGGTCTCAAACCTTCAGGGGACCAAATACACGTATTGTTAGCAAGTATGGACGCAAATGGCAACGGCTACGTCGAATTTGATGAGCTTGTAGGAGCCATTCTTCCTGACTTGAACGAAGAGATTCTTGTTAATTCAGAGCAGTTAATGAACATTTTTAAATCGTTTGATAGAGATGGAAACGGTTACATCAGCGCGGCTGAATTGGCTGGAGCCATGGCTAAGATGGGACAACCATTGACGTATAGAGAATTAACGGAGATGATTGAAGAAGCTGATACAAACGGTGATGGTGTTATTAGCTTTGGTGAATTTGCTTCCGTCATGGCTAAATCTGCTGTTGAATATTTCGGTTTAAAGATTAATTCTTGATCTTCCATTTATTCTTTCATTTCTTAGAATTGATATATAAAAATAGGAGAAAATAGTCTTTTAAATTTAAAAGAGGACAAAATCTCAGGGGAAAACAGATTCTTGAAAAGTGATATGATGGGAAACAAAATGATAAGATGGAATCTAGAAAACAAGCTCATGGGGTTTCATTCCTTGTGACAAAGAGAATCTGGCTCCGAGGTAAGTCTTGAGCTCTGGCACTGCTTCAATGGCTTTGATCAGAGCTGCATCCACAGTTTTCTGGTCTTCTTTCTTCTCCTGTGGGATCTCTTTCTTCACCTGCGGATACACATCATTGATTTTAAGGTTAGAGCAAAGTTTAGAGACACAGATTCATAAGAGTGTTTTTATGCTTAATAAGGTGATGTTTAAATACCTCTTTCTCAGCTTCAAAGAACTCTCCTTCACCCTTCTTGTTCTTTTTCTCAGCAACCTTTCCGAAGTACTTGTCATCGAACTTCTCAATGCTGACTCCAGAAATGTCAACCTTGGTGGATGTTCCAATCACATAGGACTGGTTAACACGTCTCAATGGAACACCATTGATCTTGAATGGTCCTAAAAGAGGGAAATAAAAAAAAGACAAGACATGAACAAAGTTTCCAACTTAAATAACCAAACACATTCAAACAAAACAAAACACTGTTACGCACCTGTAACCAAAAGCAAACCAGAAGTAAGTTGCTTAAGAAAGACAACTCTCTTGCCCTTGAATCTACCAGCAAGAATGATCAACACAGTTCCTGGAGTAATGCTTGCTCTGCAAGACATACATAATAACAACACCATCGATTACAAAAGAACATAAAGTAACAAACTTTACAAATCTCAATGAAACCTACATTTCAACCTATCTCTCACATTCCCGACAAATCTATTCTAACTCAAAACCTGTCGGAACCAAACCAAACAGATACATTTCTCATGAAAATTAACTAAAACTACCAATCAAAGAAAATAGATTTACTTTAGCTTAGTAGGCTTAGGTTTGCGTCTGTTAGCGAGAGGCTTCTTAACATCTTCCGCCGGGTAAAACTTAGCCGGCTTCTCAACCGGAGCTGCAACCTTTGACTTAGCGTCGTGACGTGGGAAAACGCCGCCGTTTTTGGCCTTAATTGCCCACAAACCTCTCTTGTGGTACATTTGAGACCGAGAGTATTTGCCTACACCCCTGATTAGATCAGGGTTTCGGCTCACTTTCGGGGTCCTCTGCTTCGCCGCCGGCATTTTTTTCTCTTTTTTATTTTCTTCTGTCTCTGTGGAAAACGCTCAGAGAGGCGTAAACCCTAGATGGCTTTTAAATATAAGCACGATAAGCTGCCAAGAAACCCTAATGGGCCTAATATGTGTTAGAATTAATCTCATGGGCCTTATATGGGTTTAAAAATATAATATGGGTTTCTATGTGACGAGAGGGGAAGCCACATCCTTCATAAGTACTCTGCAATCACTTTCAAGTAGTCTCAAACTCTCTAACATGATCTTTTAAAAAAAAAAATTGACTAAACATAATGTCATAAACAATAGGAATTCATGAAATACAAATGATGAAAAGAATTGTAAGAATAAATTTAGTGTAAAAGAAAAACAAATTATTGTGTTTTTGTCATCATGCTCCTATAGAATACAGTTGAAAGCAAACAGTGGATGAAACAGACAAGAAACACAAAAAACACTGATAACATTTGAACTCGTGTTTTAACGCTTCATGTGTGTTGTTGTTGTTGTTGTCCTTGGACGAGCAAACCCTGGCTGCACAGTAAAAAAAAAAAAAAACAAACATATATTAGTGAAGAGTCACATAATCTCGTTGAACAACAACATATCACTGTTTTTGATAGTAAAGTTTACCTGAAGCAGCATTGAAGGAGCTTCTTGATTAACAGGACGAACATGGCTTCTCGTTTTCCTTCTATCCAGTGAAGGACTATTAGCTGCTGTTATGTCCCAAAAGGTTCTCTTTTTAGCTGCTGCAGCTGGAGATGCAAACCTATGACTAGGACTTTTTATCAGCTCCTTGTCCTTATCCTTTGGTCTCAAGCTCCCTCTAGTGACCATCCTCCTTGTTTCTTTGCCTCTTTCTGGAGTTTTCTCGATCTTTTTACTACACAGTTCTTTCATGAGCTCTTCCTTTTGCTTCTTCATCTGCACCACATGTTCCCTCTTTATTCTCTCCATCTCCATCTTCAAAGCCTTAACAGTCAGCTGAAGCTCCTTCACTGCATCTTCTGCTTTTCTCCTTTTGGAGGACTCTGGTGTGAAACATGTCCCTGATAACAACGAGTGCCTCGGTTTCTTCTTCTGTTGAGCTGTTAATGCAGATGGTGGAGTCATTAGAGATGAGATTGATGGAGGTGTTGGAGATATGTTGTTGTTGTTATTAGCTGCTGCTGCTAAGGTCTCTGCTTCAAGAGTCAAAACCTTCTGCTGTTGTTCCACGAGCTTTACACGCAACTCACGGTTCTCTTCCTGAAGTTCCAACAGTAGCTTGGTCTGATCAGGCCCTTCACTCACTTGAACCACCTCTTCATTTACTTCACACCCCTTCACTCGAATCTCCTTAGCTCTATCTGCCCAATGAAGAGTGTTCTGCGTTTCACCAAAAGAATGATTGCTTGGACTTATGTTAGCAATCATCACCGTGTTACACGAGCCGCCTAGTGAGTCTTTGAGTAGCTGCGTCAGCTTTGAGTTTCTGTAAGGAATATGTTTCTTTCCTTCCACAAGCGCGTTAATGCAGCTACTTAACGCAAGAAGTGATCTGTTTATGTTGGCTCCTTCAAGTGATCTAAGCGTCCTTTGATCAGTTGCTATCGCTCTTTCTGATCCTGCGAGATCAATGAGAGATAGCTTCCCAACTCTGCTGATGATATTCATGGAAGCATCTCTAGTCTTATACTCCACTACAACCTATAGAATCACAACAAGGAGATCAACATTTAAGACATTACAGTACTAAAATATCGATGATACTAACCTGAAGGATGGCATGTGAGCGTGAAGATGTTTCATTGCAACGAGTAGGCTCAGTAGTTCTGTTTTGGTTTCCCCTTTGAAGCAAAACCATAACCTGCAATAAACCATAACTCAAAAGTTTAGCTTTGCTTAACATTTGATTCTCAAAGAACATTCAAAGATTAGAATATGAAACCTCATCTGTGGAATAAGCTCTATACTGAGTGAGACCAGCTGCCATGATTCCCTAATTCAATCATAATCAACCAAACAGAATGAGACCAACGTGTTCTTATCTAAACCTTAAAAAAGAAAACATATGTTTTTACCTGTTTATCTTCACGGAGGATAAGAGGTCTACCAGGAGAAAGCAAGTCTCTAACAGTTTCATTATAGACTTCAAGATAAGACAGATGAACAGTATGGTTCCCATCTAAACTCCTCTCTCTAACCTTAGCAAACAAATCCTTGATTGCTAAAACCATCACACCAGGATTCTCCACTGTCCCCAACATAGTATAAGTCTTCCCTGCACCAGTAGCACCATAACAGAAAACAGAACCATTCCTTCCTTCAAGCACTGCCTCCAACAAATCTCCTGTCCTGAAAAAAAACAATCAAAGAAGAACAACACACAACTAAGTAAACAACCATTCATTACAGGAGACATTACGTTTGAGATAACACTTACGTAGTGGAATAAACTTCTCGTTGCGTTGTGGTCTCAGGAAAAGAAGAATCAAAAGTGAAGTGACGAACACGAAGCCTCTTAAGCCTTAAGTAGTCGTTATCATTAGTGAACTCCGTTAGATAAACATCTCTTTTATTCAAAACTTTCACACAACATCTTGACCCATTCTCTCTCTCCTTCTTCCCCATTGGTCTAAGCCTAACAAACACCATGATCCTACTCCCACAAGCCTCAAAGTTTTCACCTTTTTCAGCTACATTACCCATTGAGAGCTTTCTAATCACAGTGGAAGACTTAACTGGAACCGTGTTCATCCCGAAAACACGATCTGCGTCGTTCTCTTTGGTCTCATCGTTAACAAAGTTTGGATCTTTATGAACTTTCTTGCAAGAATTGGGCATCTCGGGAGGGTTAAACCTCGGATCTTGGGGTTTTGGGGAAGGGTGATGGTGATTGTGATTAGGGTTTCTGAGAGAGAAAGAGGCTCTCTTTTGCTGCTCGTACAAAAGAGTCAAAGCTCTCATCTTTTCTTTAAGACCTTGATGTGGATTCGTGTACTCTTGCCTGCTTTGCTCGTGATGATGATTCATCGCCTTGGATCTGGTCGATACAGGCATTGTTCTTCTTCTTGTTTCTCACCTCTTGTGTGTGTTTTTGGGATCTTATAGAGAGTGATGAATCGATGGTTTTGGTTAGACTGTGTTGGTCAAAACCCCGAAGCTTTTGAAAGTGTGGACTGAAAAAAATTGCTATTTTCAGACTTTGTTTTTGGATCCAAGAAGATAGAACAAAAACTAAAGGGAAAAAAAAAAGATTTTTATTTTTGAAAATGTATTTGTAACGGTCAAATTTGCTTTGTCAGACCGATGAATAAGCTTTGAGGGCCCACTTTAATTGTATTTTTTTAAAATAAAAAGAAAAGATATAGGTGTCAGTGTGACACAGTAAACATAGTTGCTTTTTCAATTTTTTAAAGCTAGAAATAGTTATTTTCTGTAATAAAAGACTTATAGGTATTAATTCATTTTATAATTATTGGTTTTGTTGATACATTGGTATTTTCTAAATTTTAGGATTTTTCTAGTTGAAAATAAACTTTGAGATTTTCCTATGAAAATTTCGGGCTTAATCTATCTTGCAAAATATTTGGGTATGTTTATGTGTATCATACATATACATGGATGTTATTTAATGATAGATTTTAATAGAATTTAAAGCCATAATTAAGTTATCAAATTAATGATTCTTTTAAAATTCAATTATATTGAAAGATTATTTGAAATTTATGCTTTAAATATTTTGAGCTTTTGTTTTACTCAATAAATTTTCATTCGCTTAGTTTTCTAATTTTCAAAATTTAAAAGTTGGCATCATTAAAAAAATATGTGTGTTGATTCTAATATCTCTATAATACATTTTAAGTTTTTACTAGTTTACCTATAAATATCTTTTGAATTCATTTACAGTTACTTGTTTGATTATTTCATTGCTATTAATGTTTTGGATGAAAAAAAATGATTACTTTCTTTTTCAATTCTTTTTTGTTAAAAAAAACGATTACTATTACTAGGTTATTCAGCTCCAGTAAAGAAAAAAATTGTTCAAACATATGTTTTTTTTTTTTTTGAGCAACCGTTCAAACATACGTACATATTTACTTAGAACTGGCGTTTTTCCTTCTCAACAGTTGACTCCATCTAATGTGAAGTACTACATTCAAAAGTTTCAATGTAAATGGTTAAGACATAATATTCATTAGTGACTGAAGAAAGGTTTTGGATACATTCATTTGTACAGCTCTTTAATGTAATATTGACAAGTTATTCACATCTTGTATAGCTTTAGTCAGTGTTTCATCACTCTGATTAGATATAAGCTTTGGTTCCATACCATCACACTAGAAGCATGAAGAAGAAGCTCAAGTATTTCAAAGACCGGATGTAGCACCCCTATTGTCATTGTCAATCATGGGCGCTAAAGCATACGGTTTAGGGAACCAGATTAATAAATGACACTATAGACCAACATTTTTTCACATGCCTAAATGGATAAAGTCGTAATACTCTTTTAATTAAAATAGCTCATGGAAGACAAACAAAAAAAGAACACAATGTTTGACTAATTAATGGGTTTTGTTCAAATAAAATAGTGTAATTGATTGTACGAAATCTAAATTCTCTTTCTTGGTTCTATATAGTTTTCTTGGCATGGTCCATTTCGAATATGTCCAAAGTTCAGTGTTTGAGTGACCAAGTTGTTGGTTAATTTATCTAATTCAAAGACGACCACATTTGTGTGTACTAACATAAATATAATTATTACCTTCCTCGAATTTTCATTTTTTTTTGTTTCGTCTGCCTATTGTTTTCTTTAATTATTTGTCGCCTAATGATTTATATTATATTTTAATTAACCATAACAAAAATACGAAGGCTTCAGCCGTATTTAGAAAAGTCTCGCACTCCATCTTTTACTGTTGAATGCATTCTGACTTTTTTTTTTTAATTTTGGGTATCTCAAACCTATGAAAAAGTTCAGACTAGTCCCCAAAGAGATGGTGCAGTCTATCCCCCAAAGAGATGGTGCAGTCTATCCGTGGACCCTCACTCCAGATATTCAAATATATCATAAAATAGGTCCAAATCCGCATGACCACAAGATAAGATGTAGTGGGGTGTTTTCCAAACCGAATGCATTATGACAAAGAGACCTATCTTTGCGGTTTCATTTTTATTTGTTTCTCCATCAGAAGAAACTTTTTTCTCTTGTACTCTCCTAATTTCACATTCTACGTTATTAGTATTTTCTCAAGTCCTGCGTAAATTAATTAGCTATTAGCATATTGATATTTTCATATGATATAGACTTTTGGAAGAGAACATAACATATATATCAGTTTTTTTAGCAAAAATGAATAGGAACTATTCATGGCAGCTCACATAATACTAATAATAAAAAAATGTTTATCATAAATTTTGTGTTGAGGAAGAGAGTATAACATATATACATATAAATATTTTTCAGTTATAATAAATGTATACTCTCAATTCTTTTTGAAATTTTCACACATATTTTTGGCTACCAATTAAATTATTAAGTAACTATATTTCATTGAATCAAACTGGCATGTAACTTATAAAATGAAGTTAAAAAACTTATATATATAAATTTGAATTTGTTTTGTAGAACAACCAAGCTTTCTCAAATATCTATTAAAAATGGAAGGTTTTAGAACACTTCAATCTTGGAAACGGGTATTTAGCTAATTTTTTTTTTTTGTTCAACATCTATAAATTAATAAGAAAATAGATAAAAATGAAGAGAATGAAACACCGTTTCTGGTTCGGGAAATTGTTACACTCTTATTCTACACAATACATTAATAATTATACTTATTTTAGAAAATCCAAACTTAATTGTATAATGAAATGTTAATAAGTACTAAAATAATTAAATTTAGAAACTCCTGCTAGTATACTTGATTACTAGGCGATGAGGCTGCTCTTATGCATGGAAAAGTACTATATAATAGATATCTCGGCATAATATTTGTTGACAATAGGAATACTAAATTGTTAAACTGCACCAAATTTTAGCCAAACAAAAAATATTTTATGAAAAAGATCAGACGTCTATCTCAAAATTCCACTGAGAAAGTTAGCACTTCTTTCCACATTTATTTTATGAGAAAAATTATCAGCGGAATTTTCGAGAAAATAAAATCTCTATTAACAAATCAAAATAAGCCACGTGTCAAACACCTACGAAACGATGTCGTTGGAGGCAGCCACACGTAAATCCACAAGCACGCATAAATAAAGAAGGTTTCTCACTTTGCAAGTGAAACAAACAACTCAACTCTTAGCAAAAATAGATAAAAGCTTCTCGCTATCAAATCTCTGTCCCTTGTGGTAAGAACAGAGCAAGTAGAGATCTCTTTCTCTCTCTGTCTCGCTCTTTGTGTTTTTCTTGTTTAGTGTTGAAAGAGCAAGATGTCTATAAGAAGAATCTATCGATGTCTCAATTCTTTAATCAAAAGATCATGTGCTCGATCTTTTTGATCATACGTCCCATTTCACACTTTGTTTCAGCTCTCAGGTTCTCAGTTTTTTTTTCTCTCATTGTTGTTTGTTTCACTTGAGAACAACCCCGTTGAATTCCATCGAATATAAGTTACTAGATTAAGAAAGCTAAGACTCTGTGAAGAATCAAGAATGGTGAGAACACCATGTTGCAAAGCTGAATTAGGGTTAAAGAAAGGAGCTTGGACTCCCGAGGAAGATCAGATGCTTGTATCCTACGTTAACCGTCACGGTGAAGGTGGATGGCGAACTCTCCCTGAAAAAGCTGGTATTTGTATTTTGTTTATTATTATTTATTCCGACATTTTTGAATATTCATTGTTGGTTTTTTAATCATTACTAGGTTAGGATCGTGACTTGCGCGGGATAAATATTTTATATACATTATTTATATGTATTATATTTTTTACATATTATAAAATAATAAATATATATTGAGAATCAAAAATTTAGTAACTATTACGTATATAATTAAATTGGTGTGTGCTTATAAATATTTTTTATTAATTTAGACAGATTTTTTCTATTTTATATGATATACAATTAAGTTTAGCTGATATTATCGTAGAAATATAATACTTTTTTTTTAATTTTGATATCGGTTAAATTATAATTTATATTCATATTTTTTTGTTCATTTTTATATTTTTTATAACAAAAACTTTAAATCATTGATAACAATTTTTTGTGTGGGATGTTTAACATTTTTTAGTAATTTATAATTTTAAAACATTATGAAAAGTTTAAAATTAAATATTAAGTTGTCAATATTTGTTTAAAATTTTTATCAAAAAATAAAAGCAAATTAGAAATTATAATACATATATATTTTATATGGTACAGAATTTATTTTGAATTATATATATATATATTAAATGAGACTTCTTATTTATATAATTTTGTAATCATTTCTATTTTGTGATAAAAAAAATTTAAGCATGGATCACAAAAAATTTAATGTGAGATTTTTTAACTACTTTAGTCATTTATAGTCGTTTTACAAAGTTCAAAGTCTAACATATACAAAAAAAATATAAATTTTTATTATATAGTTAATGTAGTTGTTTAATTTATTTTAATAAGTTAAAATTTTAAAAATACACTATTTTTTTTATCAAATCTTTATTATTGAAAATCAATGATTATCATATGTTCTTTAACCATATTTGGCAATTTCGTTATTTTTATTTAAGAAAATAATGAAAAACATTAATAAAAAGTTTATTATATATTTAGATGAACCAACATATTTTTTAAAGGATTATAAGAATGATTGTGGTGATGACATGTTGCTACAAAAAAATGTTGTAATGCTTCTTCTTTAATATATAGGGGTTGAACGATAGTAAAAAATACTTTACATAAATCAATTATTTTGACCAAAAAACAATATAAATCAATTATTTAAATGGAATAGGACTCAAGAGGTGTGGCAAAAGCTGCAGACTGAGATGGGCCAATTATCTAAGACCTGATATCAAAAGAGGAGAGTTCACTGAAGAAGAAGAACTCTCTATCATTTCTCTTCACGCCCTTCAAGGCAACAAGTTATAGTCTCCTTCTCTTTTTAATGTTCTGAATAATGTCTCATTGTTATGGTGCATATCATATGATCATCATGACTAATATATTGTACAAACTTTATGGTGTTTAATATCAGATGGGCTGCTATAGCTCGTGGATTACCTGGAAGAACCGATAACGAAATCAAGAACCACTGGAACACTCATATCAAAAAACGTTTAATCAAGAAAGGTGTCGATCCAGTTACACACAAGAGCCTCATCTCCAGCACCAGTAACGATGATCTTGGTAATAATGATAAGGTGAAGAATGAAGACAAGAAGTCGGGACTGTCATCAGCTAGGTTCTTGAACAAGGTAGCAAATAGATTCGGGAAGAAAATCAATCAGAGTGTTCTCTCTGAGATTATAGGAAGTGGTGGCCCACGTACTACTACTACTACTACTACAAGTATCACCGTTGACTCCGAATCAGATAAGTCAACGAGTTTTTCCTTCACCCCAACCTCGTATCTACTCCATCAGATGACAGTTAATGGTAAAGGTAACGCTACGTCGCCTACGTCCATGTTCTCTGGTTCCTCCGTTAACGATCCTTTAATGAACTGTGATAGTGATGATAATATCGGACTCTCAGGATTTCTGAATGATCAACATTTAATGATGTTGGAAGAGTCTTGTGTTGAGAGCACTAAGTTCATGACAGAACTTACGAGGTTTCTTCACGAGGATGTGAACGATGACGTCGAGTTGACGCCGGTCTATGAATATCAAGACGATTTCGAAGAGATTGATAAATATTTTGCATGAGTGGATCTTCTGATGAATCCCATTTCCCGCATGATATATACCCCATGTCGATTGATATGTTATGATGATGATGATAATAGTAATAATAATGCTGGTGATGATTGTGGTGAACCATGCAGGTAGCCTGTACGTATTGTCACATATGCGTGTCTTTTTCATGTGTTTTTTTTCCTTAATTTGTAAGTTTGCCATAAAGTGTGTTTCGTATAAATGGATAAATTACTAGTGGTGATATATATACTAACAGGTTGTATTATACAAATCATCATTCTGAATGTCTTATGAGAAACATGCTTGACGATATTCATTACATCATGTTATAAGACTTTTCTTAACAAGATTTCTTGTAAACTTTTTTTTCCTAATTTTTTTTTGGAATTCAAAACCAAAATTATTGATTTAGAATAGTTAACGAACTCTTAATAAGATCGCTGAATTAACAGGGCTTCCACATACAATAATAAGTTTAACTAGTGTTTTATAGTAATTCATAAATTATAACATGCATAACAAGTACCAACAAAATTAATTAGAACATGAATAAATTACTGTAGTGTTATGTTTACACTAAGTACTATTTCATTATGGACCGATCCCATTATGTTTACACTACAGTAAGTCTCGTGTATAACTACTTCTATGGATTGTGAAACTTGTGTTAAACTATAGATTTGATCAATCTTTTAGCCCAAAAAAGAGAAAACTATAGATTTGATCAATCTTTTAGCCCAAAAAAGAGAAAACTATAGATTTGATAGCTCATCGGCTAAGAGTAAATGCATCTAGCAAGTTGATATATATACTGTTTTTGGATTTTTTTGCTTTTTCTCGTTATACTAGTTACAATGGTGTGTTGAATTTATAAATTCAACGGTTGACATGTTGCAATGAGGATGTTTAATAATACGTTGAAAGTGATTTGGCATTCAACTAGCTTAAAAAATTAAATGAGTTGAATCTGGTTGAAGGAAAGGGAGATCATAGAAATGGGCTCCTCCTATTGGTTAAGACAAAGTGTCCGTTGATCACATTTTTTTAATTGGTTATATTGATTTTTTTTCCTCCTTCTACATTATTTGACTCAATTATTGTATACTAAATTATGTAATTTAAAAAAGAATTATATTAAAAAATTATCATTTTTATACTCTATAAATAGATACTTGTTTCATCAGTTTTGGATACTGAGAAAATAATCTTTAGCCTCTCAAACAACTCTCTATATTTTCGTTTTTAATAATTGTTTTTTTTAGTAAACTTATAAAATTAAACATAAATTATTTTATCATATATAAAGTTCTTAAGTACTGTAATTTAATTTAAACTAACAATTATTATTAATATGTAATTATAAAAACAAAAATACATAACAAAATAAAAATATGACAATAAAAATGGTAAGATAAGATATTGAATTTATCAAATAAACCATTGTAAGGTAAAAAAAATAAGTGTATGTTAAATTGTTAAGCAAAAGAGAGAGAAACCGATATGGAAGAAAAAAAATGATTTAGAGGATGTTGTATGTTGAAACTACTGTCTATAGTCAAAAAAAAAAGTCTTATGCTCGGTCTTAATTCCGATACGATATTACCCCCTATAGGCTGTAGCGAAGGCAATCTATCTCTCATTTTGCGAGTTTTGGATGATAAGTTTTGTGGTTCCAATCTAATTTGAGCGGAGAATCTTTGAGTGATGCCTTCTTGTCTCCTTTCATGTCTTCCCCAAAATCGCATATTGACCATGTTAATGTTGACATCATCATTTACATATACGGTGTTACATCAGTCCTTGGATATTTCTATGAGCTCCCACCGAACCAACAATGCTGAAGTTATCCCGGAAATAAAAACATTTCATTCCATTCTACGGTTGGACAATACTTAAAACTTTGTCCCGTTCCAGTAAATTATAGAGCTCTAAATTATAAAAGGATTAGGTGTGTAGATAATATAAATTGTTTCAGAGCCTTGTATTGTTTATGGCTTAAATATATCATTTTTTTAATCAGATTTGAGGCACATAAAGTGAGTGATCATTCTTTGAACGTTACAGGGTTAAATATAAGCAGAAATGCAAATTATCAGTCTATCCTTTTGAAAGCGCCATGCAGAAATAAAAGTAAAAGCTGAGATTTGTTTCAAATATAATATTAATTTTAAAGTTGAATGATATTTGCTTTTTTCAAGATAGTGTTTTCGTCTATATAATAAAGTGATTCTTGATTAGAGACATTACCTATTAGTTGTTTTGGTCAAAAATAATTTATGATTGGAGACATTACCTATTTAAAAAATTTAGACCCACTAACAAGTGGGTATATGTAAAAAAAGTACTCCTAGTCCCATGTATGAATATGATAATATCTAAAAAAATATATTAGCTCCATTTCTATTTAACGGTCGTTGTATGGTAATATTTCCGTTTCAAAATAAGTATCATTTTACGATTTTGAGAAAAAAATTATTAATTTTATATGATATTATATTTTTTCTTGTTGAAATATTATTAAGTTTATATATAATAATATTTTATTTTAAAAATATATAAATTAGATATTTTCTTAATCTATTTACATAAATCTTAAACGATAACTAAAATGAAACATATAGAGTAGTATCTAAAAAGTTTTTAATTGCTATATATTTATTCAATAACTATTCAATTTTTGTTATAATCAAAACTTCTACAAACCATGATACGGCTAAATTAACCAGCCTAATTTCCATGATTTACACTAAACAAAATTGTGCGATAAACAAACGACCAATTGTACACATGAGGCATATGTAATTCTTTGAGAACTCTTTATCTTTCCCACGGTCACCTTCTTCCAAAAAAACTTTCCATATTTAAAAATATCTGCAAAGTAGAACCTCACACAAATTCTACCAAACGATTCTCATGGTGAAAGACTCAAAGATATCTCAATCATTTTCACCTAATGATCTAAAACATGCAGTCAATCATCATCACCTAACGATCCAAAACATTCATCTATGGAAACAACATGATGATAAGTTTAAGAGCAAGTTCTCGTCCAAAAACACTAGGTATATATACATATATTTTTTATAACATTTACAATATTTTTATTTATTAAATTTATTATATTAGTTATTAGAATTTTAAAAATCAAATACAGTTTTATTTTTGTAATGCAATATTATTATTTTTTATATTAATTTTTTTGTGCGAATAGAATCAAATATCCAGTTTACAAATAAAAAAATTTCAAATATTCAGAACATCTTATATCCGAATTGCTATAGATAAAATCAAATAGGTTAATTGATTACTCGAACGAAATAGATCGGATGACAAATATCTCACAAAACCCGAATTTTGATTCTTGCCCACCCTCTAATCTCAGTTGCTCTTGTCTGTTACCGCTTGTCACTAAAATGTTCTTTCTGTTTCCACATGGACCATTTGATTCCTAGTTTAGAAAATAAAAAGTCCAAAATTATGAGAAAAGAAAACAACGTAATGGGACTAACTGGCCCATTTGCTTCCCCATTCTATACGATCCGTTTAGAAGCAAAGATAGAGAAGGTGGGAAAGAGAAGAATGTTTAGAGAAAATTCAAAATTTGTAATTTGTTTAATAAGAAAGAAAATAAAAATGAAATCTTCTTTATTACAGCATATTCTACTTTTTGTGAAATTAATGAAAACGTGTTTAGTCGTAATCTGAAGATATTTTCTGCTTCTAACCAAATTTAGCTATTGTTTCTGGACCAAACACAAATGACAAATCTAAAACACCGACGGAGAGATAAGGTGTTAATTGACATTTTATCTACTTCCGGTCTGATTTGTAATTTTAAAATATTTAATTTGGAAAAAAACGACCAAAGGTTTAGGATTTTTTTTATGATCGACATTCGACAGTCATTGAGTAAGCCAATAAGATCAGATCTGTCAACATTGACATTTCTTAAGACAGTGAAGAAGGAAATCATTCGATGCACTCATAGAGAAAACGCGTGTAATCAAAGCCAAACCCAGACCACAATCACAATCTCTCTGTCGGTAGATTTTTTTGTTCGAAAATTCCTCGTGTTCTGCTCGAATCTGGGTTTTAGTGTAAAACCGAATATAGAAAGAATTTGGTGAGGAAGAAGAGAAAAAGAAAACAGTGGAGGATTCAGGGAAAGATGAGGAGGAGGAGGGTAGTTAGAAGGAGATTGTTGAGTTGGATATGGCTTCTCCTTGCTTCTTTCTCTGTTGCTGGATTGGTTCTCTTCATGGTTCAGCATCATCATCATCAACAAGATCCATCTCAGTTAATACCTGTATGTCTTTCTCTTCCTTCAGTCCTTGCTCTTCATTCATGAAAAAAGTCTGGATCTTGTGTTCTTGTGCTGACCAAAAACATTGGTGAATTTGGTAGAATTTTAATATTAGTTTTGTTAAGTTTGAGAAACCTTATTAGTTTGGTCTCTAACTATAGGATCATTGAAGTTGCTTAGTTGAAGTGTTAATGCTTTCATGTAGAGTGTTGGATGCAAACCTCTGTTTTCGGAATCTACAGAAAGCTTTTGATTGTCTTGGTTTATTGGTTTCTTCTTAATGATTTTACTTGGCTTTGAGAATATTATTGTGGCTATTGTAGTTTCTTTATTGACACTTTTTTTTTGTTGGTTTTGGGTTTTCTTTGTTCTTAGTGTGAGTGTATAAGCTCATAAAACAGAGCATTTTGTTATGTCCGATGTGATAAAATAGTCTCTTACATTACTGCAATTCTCTTGATAAAATTTGTACCTTTATGTCTACTGTTTATAACTTTATATTATATCTAGACATAGATTGCAAGATAATTTGAGAGATGAAAAATGTTCAAGGCGCTTTATGCCATAGCGTAGAGTTACAGATTGAATCATTGGAAGAATTTGTGTTAAGCTAAGCTCTCCTGTTAAAAGGACATGCCATTAGTTATAACAAAAAAAATTGGATGGTTCATGTTCATTGTTCATGCTAATATCATACTAAAGATACATTGTAGTTGGTTAAGTGTTCATGATTCATTTTCTTCCAGTTCTTAAAACATAAAATACATTTCGGGGAAATAGACCACAATACACTGATAAATCTTACAGGGGAGGCAGTCCAAGTGTCATGAGACTTTTGTTGAGATTTCTTAGTCAGTCCAGGGATTGAGAACATAACCTTTTCTTTCACAAAGTATATGATAGTGAATATGGAGAACTTATTGCATCATACTATCTATACAGACATGTTTTCTTTTGATGTTTGTGTATTTGGAGAACTTACTCCGATCTTTTTTTCTTTGATAGGAAAGAGACACAAGAATCGGGAACAACGTATCTCCTCCCCATTTAAACTTCACGGAAGAGGTAACAAGCGCTTCCTCATTCGCTAGACAGTTAGGAGAGCAAATGACGCTTGCCAAGGCTTATGTTTTTATAGCCAAAGAGCACAATAATCTTCATCTAGCTTGGGAACTGAGCTCTAAGATCAGAAGCTGCCAGCTTCTCCTCTCAAAAGCAGCAATGAGAGGTCAACCTATTTCATTAGACGAAGCAAAACCCGTTGTTACGGGCCTTTCAACTCTTATCTACAAGGCACAAGACGCACATTACGACATAGCCACGACAATGATGACCATGAAATCTCACATCCAATCCCTTGAAGAGCGTGCAAACGCAGCTGCTGTTCAAACCACACTATTTGCGCAATCTGTTGCCGAGGCACTACCAAAGAGCCTCCACTGTTTGATGGTCAAGCTCACGTCTGATTGGTTAACTGAGCAGCAATCACGCCATAGACTAGCGGAGGAGAACAGAAACTCACCTAGACTTGTTGACAACAACCTCTACCATTTCTGCATCTTCACTGATAATGTGATAGCCGCATCGGTTGTTGTTAATTCAACTGTCTCTAACGCTGATCATCCAAAACAGCTTGTTTTCCACATAGTGACGAATCAAGTGAGTTACAAAGCTATGCAGGCTTGGTTTCTAAGTAATGACTTCAAGGGCTCAGCTATAGAGATCAGGAGCTTAGAAGAGTTCTCTTGGCTGAATGCTTCATATTCTCCTGTTGTTAAGCAACTTCATGATACAGATTCAAGGGCTTACTATTTCGGAGACCAGACAAGTCAAGAAACGAATCCTGAGCAGCCAAAAGTGAGGAACCCAAAGTACTTGTCATTACTAAACCATCTCAGATTCTACATCCCTGAGATCTATCCGCAGCTAGAAAAGATTGTTTTTCTAGACGACGATGTTGTTGTTCAGAAAGATTTGACTCCACTCTTCTCCTTGGATCTTCACGGAAACGTCAATGGAGCTGTGGAGACATGTCTTGAAGCCTTCCACCGTTATTACAAGTATCTAAACTTCTCGAACCCACTCATCAGCTCAAAGTTCGACCCACAAGCATGTGGATGGGCCTTTGGTATGAATGTTTTCGACTTGATCGCTTGGAGGAAAGCGAATGTGACTGCTCGGTACCATTACTGGCAAGAGCAGAACGTAGAAAAAACGCTTTGGAAGCTGGGGACTCTGCCTCCAGGTCTATTGGCTTTCTATGGTCTCACTGAACCGCTAGACAGAAGATGGCATGTGTTAGGTTTAGGTTACGATGTGAACATTGATAACCGTTTGATCGAAACGGCTGCTGTGATTCACTACAATGGTAACATGAAGCCTTGGCTAAAGCTGGCTATAGGTAGGTATAAACCGTTCTGGTTAAGGTTTTTGAACTCGAGTCATCCTTATTTACAAGATTGTGTCACAGCTTAAAAGCAACAACCACTTTTGAGACTTTGAGACTAATCCCAAATCACAAGATTCTTGATTTCTTATACACGATGAAGATTCTTTTTTGTTTTCTTTTTGTAATATTGTAGAGATCTCAGAAACTTTGTCAGCTTCAGATTTTTTTCTGGAGACTGTTCTTCTCTTATGGTCTGAAGAGACATATAATCACATATTAGAAACGGTCCATATTGTACTTATGGTTGAGTAGATTACAGGGTTACTTATTTGTTGCTGTTAAGAAATATATTTTTCCAAATAATCAATAGTTCAATCGATCCTCACACCAAACCCAGTTAGCAATTCTAGTTTCTTATGTAACATCATGCTGCTCTTACATTTTCAAGCGGGAATAACTTTTGATTCTTGTTAAATTTGAAGTTTCTTATGTAACATGCTGCATGATGTTACATAAGAAAATACAGTTTCTTTTTATTATACATAGCAACAGCCTTTTAAATCCATGATGCTATTACACTTTCAAGCGGGAAGAAGTTATGATTCTTGTTAAAATTTGAATCAAGTGATTTGATTCATTACTTAATTACATAACTATATAAGTTATCTCCCCTTTATGATACTTGCACGTTTTTATCTATAATTAAAAAATATGTTTTTTTAATTGCTTAAAAAGAAACTCCAGAGTCACCAAACCAGCAACTGTGAAACACATATATAACACGTTGTTGGTAACTAGTATCCTCCTCCTCACCCGTCAGCCGTCACCACCAACTTACTTATATATATTCCACACAACAAAAAACTATATATTATAGCATCATAACACAAACGACTACTTATCAATAGCAAACAAGAGAAACCACTAAACACAAAACATCTCTCTATAATGGAATCCAAATCCGAAAACGACGTCATTGCATCACAACCATCAGAGTTCGAGAAGAACCAAAAACACTACCAAGAAACCATCGCCACGCTTCCTCACCAAAACGGCTGGAGACCAAAAGACCCTTTCGTCCAATACGGTAACCACTGGTGGCTCCAACCTCTCCTCGAAGGCCTCCTCCACGCTCAAACCTTCTTCAAAGCTCGCCCCAACGACTTCTTCGTCTGCAGCTACCCTAAAACCGGCACCACGTGGCTCAAAGCCTTAACGTTCGCGATCGCAAACCGGTCCAAGTTCGAAGACGACTCCAAAAACCCTCTCCTCAAACGTAACCCTCACGAGTTCGTGCCTTACATCGAAATCGACTTCCCGTTTTTCCCGAGCGTGGACGTCCTCAAGAACCAAGACAACACACTCTTCTCCACTCACATCCCTTACGAACTCTTACCTGAATCGGTTTTAAACTCCGGTTGTAAAATGGTTTACATATGGAGAGACCCTAAGGACACGTTTGTCTCCATGTGGACGTTTGCTCACAAGGAGAGGTCACAACAAGGAGATGTCATTAGCATCGAGGAGGCTTTTGATAAGTATTGTCAGGGTTTGTCTGTGTACGGTCCTTATCTTGATCATGTTTTGGGTTACTGGAAGGCTCACGAAGCGAATCCTGAACAGATTTTGTTTTTGAAGTATGAGACGATGAGAAGGGACCCGTTGCCGTATGTGAAGAGGTTAGCTGAGTTTATGGGGTATGGGTTTAGTGAGGAGGAGGAGGAAGGAGGGGTTGTGGAGAGAGTTGTGAAGCTTTGTAGCTTTGAGACTTTGAAGAATCTTGAAGCTAATAAAGGGGAGAAAGATAGGGAGGATCGTCCTGCTGTTTATGCGAATAGTGCTTATTTTAGGAAAGGGAAAGTTGGGGATTGGGAGAATTATTTGACGGCGGAGATGGTTGCTAGGATTGATGGTTTGATGGAGGAGAAGTTTAGAGGAACTGGGTTTCTTGCTTCGACACCATGAATATGATCTTCTTTGTTTATTGTGTGTGATTGTCTGCTTCTTTCTTATCCTTTGTATTGGGGTTTATAGCATTTGTTGAGTGTCATTTATCATTATATGTATCAGTTTTTCCTTAATCTAATGCAAATTTTCTTTTAGAGATGCAAAAGGCACATACAAATGAGGATGCAGAAGCAATGGGAACAAAACAGAGTAACCTCTGTTTTCATAATTGTTTTTACAAGAAGCAAAAACGTATCACTTATAATTGATTATGCATAAGTTAGTGTCTTTGATTAAAATTTGATGTACACTCAAGATACTATGGTTAGAATGGAATGTTGGTTTGCTCTTTAGAATTACATGAAATATATTGAGGGAGACAGTGTTAACTCATGAGATATAGATGGGAAATGGAGTGTGCGGGACCTCCTTGTGAAAGGGTCGGAACCATAAAATACAAACACGACACTCTGACGAATCAGTTATTGGAGTAGTATAAACTTACAAGACGCTTAAAGAAACAAAGTAAGAGAGATGGACTTAGCGAACAGTTATGATCCCACCGGGATGGTTTCAACCGAACTTCTCCATAAACCATATGTATTTGTGTGAAGTGAAGAAGATATATCCGATCACAAATCCACAAAACACACCAGGTCCGAAGGCTATTGCAGCAGCTATCCAACTCAACACTTCTTCCTCAGACTCTTCGGATGAAAATTCCTTGGATTGTTGTGTATCTCCAGATGTAGGATGAGGAACATGTACCGGTCCACAGATTTCCTCGAGATCATAGAGTCCAGGGTTGTCCTCGAAGGAAGAACAATGCTGGCTTTGAAACTGAGTGCTTCTTGGAACAGGACCTTGGAGAAGGTTGTGAGAGAAGTCCAAGTATGAGACGAAGGAGAGGTTGGCAAGATCACGAGGAATATTACCCGAAAGCTTGTTGTGAGAGAGGTCTAGTGCCTCAAGGTTTGTTAGATTTGCAAAGGATGATGGGATACTTCCTGTAAATGCATTTCTTGAAAAGTTGACATGAATCAATGCCTTCAACAAACCAATTGATTTAGGGATCCGTCCCGTGAATTTGTTTCCAGAGAAATCGATGGCTTTGTACGCAAGAAAGATGAGAGGAAACTCTGTGTCTACACCTTTATACATCATTTCCATCGAATCATTAATACTGATTTTATAGTCCAGGGATGCTCTTTTTGAACCGTCGTCCATAATACGCTTAGATTCGGCATCAGTTAACCACACCGATGACATTTCAGGCCAATTCACAAAATATTCTTGTGGCAATGTTCCACTGAAGCTATTGTGCGATATGTCAATGAGTTGCAGACTTGGAAATCCAAAATGCGATGAAACTGGACCATAAAAAGCATTTGATCCAAGAAACAGAACACGTAACTCTCCCAAAGATCCCAACCAAGATGGAAATGTGTCCTTGAACTTGTTTCCTTTCAGGTTTAGATATTCCATATACTTGCAGTTGATCAAAGATTTTGGAAGCTTCCCTGATAATTGGTTACGGCTAACGTCTAGTGATAGTAGCTCGGTGGCACTGGTAAAGATGTCTGGAAGGAATCCGCTCAAGCTGTTGTTTCTTAGAAGTATATAGCCAAGAGAAGCAGTACAATTCACCAAACATGGAGGAATGGAACCAGTGAGATGATTGTTTGACAGATCTAAGAATACTAATGATGTACACTTATAAATCCACAGGGGAAATGTTCCTCGGAGTGAATTTGAATCAAGATCAACGTGGAGAATTGGTCCACAGAATGAATTTGAACTTACAAGATCAGAGTGACTTCCGTTAACGACAACTTCCTCAAAGCTGCTGAAAGAATTATGAGAAAGCATCAACTGGTCTAGCCTCCACAAGAAACTTGGTACTTGACCTTCCAACCTATTGTCAGAGAGATCTAGAATCACGAGGGAGACTAATTGGGACATAGATCCAGGGATTGGTCCAATGAAACTGTTATTGCTAAGATCTATAGTATCGAGTTTGAGAAGTCGAGATATATCTTCTGAGATTGGTCCGTAGAAGTGGTTAGAAGCAAGGCCTAGCCATTCTAACTCAGACGATGATGTATTTCCAAACTTTAAGGGTCCCTCGAATTGGTTTTCACTCAAATAAACCCATCGTAGAGAAGGAATCGTAAACAGGGATGCAGGGAAATTCCCGACAAAAGAGTTTCCTCCCACTAAAAAATGCTCCAAGTTATGGAGTCCACTCATGTTAGATGGAAGCTTGGATTTGATGTGATTATCGGAAATGTCTAATTCAGACAAGCTGGTTAAATTTGACAGTATGAGAGGTAAATCTCCACCAGAGAATTGATTATCTGAGAGAGATAATTTGGACATCTTGTTTAAATTGGCAAATGAACTAGGAATGTTACCACTAAAGTTGTTTGAGGAAAAGTCTACAACTCCTAGTTGGTTTAGGTTGCCAATTAGAGACGGAACTTCACCTATCAAGTGATTATCAGCAAGAATAAGAGTTGTGAGATGGGACAAGTTTCCTAGTGATGATGGAATTTCACCTACCAAGTTATTTCCATGAAGGTCAAGGTCTATGAGGTGAGAAAGATTTCCTATTGAAGATGGGATTTCACCTACCAAATCATTGAAAGAAAGGGTGAGATGACTGAGATAAGAAAGGTTTTCTAGTGAAGATGGAATTGCACCTCCCAACTTATTGCAAGAGAGGTCAAGCTGCAATAGATGAGAAAGGTTTTCTAATGAAGATGGAATTTCACCTCCCAACTCATTAATAGAGAGGTCAAGTTCTCTGAGATGAGAAAGGTTTCCTAGTGAAGAAGGAATCTCTCCTCTGAGAGAGCAATTATAAAGGGTTAGGTGGTGAAGATGTTGGAGTTTTAACAAACTAGTGTTTGCTTTCAAAGACCCATTGAGAAAGATGCTGTCAAGGAAGAGTGATATCACCTCACCGGATTTAGGGTTGCATGTGACACCTTTCCATGAACAGTGATCACTGCTCGTGTTCCACGAACTTAAACGGGCTTCAGAAGGAGCATGTGGGTCAGATGCATCGAAGAACTCATTTTTGAACTCCAAAAGAGCATCCCTTTGGAGCGTAGGAGAAGCAAGAGTGTTGAATATAAGGGAAAGAAGGAAGAAGAAAAAAGATTGGCTCCGAATCATCATCCTTTATTGTTTTTTTTTATCTCTCAAGTTTCGTGTGGTAAGCAATGAGTTGTGTTATGCTTATGGGACTTCTTTATAAAGAGCTTTAGCTTCCCAAGTCTTGCGTCAACTCTTTTTGGATTTTCAGTTGATTTTTCAAGTCTTCTGTGATCAATGAATTGTCCCCACACTCTCCCCAACTTGACTCTGAAGTTTAAACCCTTCACTCATTCCGATCTCTCCCTTGCGTCACGCCATTATTTTGAACCACTTAAATCATTGTGACTGAACTTCACGTCTCTAGGCAAACACCTACGCCAAGTAATCATAGTGCTTTCCCTACATTGCCAAAAATCTCAGAGCTTATCTAAAGTCTAGAAGTTAAGTTGAAAGGGTTTCTCATATGTTAAAAGCAAGTACGAAATACTTTAATTCAATCTCGTACTCGTTTGGATAAGACTCATCAGTGCAGCGTTTTTAGATCACCAGTGTTCCCATAATCTTAGAGAGCAGTTTGAATATGTTTCTGTAGTTTCTATCCCTAGATCCCAAAAATGTCCGTGCGGATCTCCTACTAAAGGATTAGCATAAGTTGCTATGTTTTTATAGTACAGTTTCCATTGGATGAATCTGTAGCAAAGCGTTGCTATTGTTGTTGAGTGCCTTTTTATCATTTATATGTACCGTTTTTTTCATAATATTAGTGCCGTTTTTTTTCTTTCAGAGATGCAAGTTAATATGCAGAAGCAGAATCAATGAGACGAAAACAGATCAACCTCTGTTTCATAATTGTTTGTAACAAGAGCCAAAAAAAAAAAAACGTGTCACTTGTAATTATGTTAGTTGAAGTTAGTGTCCTTGATGTTTAGTATGTATAGAAGAAACATATCACTTGCATATTGTATAAACATCTCTGAATTACTAGATGAATTCGTTACAGAAACGGGATAGGAGGGCAACAATATGGCAAAATTGGAATAAGGCAAAGCTAGCTGAAATATCTTGAGATAGACAGTCATGTACACTTCATGTGTTACTATGTTCAAATTGTAATCTTATGTTAAACTCTGTGTTACTTTGTTCAAATGTAATCTTATGTTTAAACTATCATGAAATATAGATGGGACCGAATGGGGTAAATAAGAGATTTTGAGCTTTGACAAGCGATGTCAAAAAGAAAGATCAAACTGGAAGTCTGTAACATCATCTTTCCCAAACACATGAATAAAGTTTTTACACGAAAACAACAAAAGAAGCTGCTATAAACCGCTCTGCACTCTCTCTCTCTCTCTCTCTCTCTCTCTCAGTAAAAACAAAATCGAAGAGAGACTACTATTCAACATTACCCAGCAATCATCAGAGATTCTTGTGCACCGCCTGCCTCTATCAAAGTTTTCATCTTTTATTTTTCCTAAGGCTAAAGGTCTCGCCTTTCTTTTGGGGGCAAAGATGAATTCGATTTTCTCACGTAGAGTCGTCGTCGACTCATCTTCGCGTCTCACCAAACTCCTCGCGAACCCAACAGCTCATCCTCACCCGAATCATCACCACTCCTTCACTTCCCTCTATCGACCGAGTCAGACCCGCCATTTTCGAACTAACTACCTTCCTCCTACCCCTTCTCCTCCTCCCACGAGCCGCTTCGACCCTTCTCTCCTATGGCGATCGGAGAAAATTCGTGGGTTTTTCACGGGGGCTGTAATGAACAAATCCGCGAAATTGGGGAATCTCGTGGAATCGAAAGTTGGGTTCTTTCGTTCTCAGTTTCCTAGAAAGGGTTTCGAGTTCGGAGGCTACTCTGGGTTTCAGAGGCGTGGATGGTATTTGTCCTGCAACCTTGTTGAGATTCTCTCATTAGAATGAATAATAAAGTTTCGACTTTTATTGGGTTGTTACCTTTTTGACACAGGAAGAATTGGCTTCAAGGATTATCAGATAATGACGTTGTTCTTGGATTACTGTTAGCTAACGCTGGTGTCTTTCTCATGTGGCGTGTTTTTAACCAACGTTTCATGATGAATAATTTCATGGTCAGTCCTCAAAAAGCTCACTACTTTATTTACACACATTTCGTTTCAGTAGTCAGCACATGCTTGTTATGTTTTTTTGTTATGAAGAAGTGTTATGCTGGTGATAACTTAGTTGTTAGTGCTGAAAGAGGATAAGGATTTGATTGATGATTTGATGCAGATATCGTTGGACAATTTCACCAGTGGACGTATACACACACTGATTACTTCAGCATTCAGTCATATTGATATTGGACATATCGTCTCCAACATGATTGGACTCTACTTCTTTGGAACCAGTGTATGTACACTTTCTTTTCTCCTTTCATTTGTGTTTTTTTGTTGAGTGGAGAGCGTTGTTGATCCTGTCACTCCTTAGTTTTACTTGCTAGAGATAGTAAATTGTTTTTGGAAATTGTTTTTCTGGCTAGATCGCAAGAAACTTTGGCCCTCAGTTTCTTCTGAAACTGTACTTTGCTGGAGCGCTTGGTGGATCTGTGTTCTACTTGATTCACCATGCTTATCTAGCTGCGTCTTCTCCCAAGGTATAGAGCAACTTAAATAGTTTCTTTTGATAGTTTTGCACTTGAATTATGATGTTGTGGGGAAAAGGCTTTACCTTTGTCTATTGTGCATGCGAGTAATCATATGCCTTGGACAGGGCCATGGAGCTTTCGTGAGGGATCCATCGAGAACCCCGGGACTGGTATGTTTAAAATTTACCAGTTTTCTGTAGAGAGCATGGAGTGATATCAATGTTCTGTAATTTGTTGGATGCAAGTGAAGATGATTTATAAAGAACTTTTTTTGTTTTCTACTTGATAAGGGTGCTAGTGGAGCTGTGAATGCCATCATGCTGCTCGATATCTTCCTGAACCCAAGGGCTACTCTATACTTTGAATTTTTCATTCCAGTTCCTGCAATGTTGCTTGTAAGTTTATAATCTCTATGTGGCTCTGTTTCATGGCATCTCAATGCTTCTCTTCTCAAGTTAACTAAAGTTCTTTTTTTTTTTAATTTCTCAGGGAATATTCATTATCGGTAAAGACATTTTAAGGATCACACAGGTAATGACTGGTTTATATGAAAATCTAATAAGACATTGCAAAAGTTCAAGACTTGTTGGGAATAGTCTGACATGAAAGTGATTCATAAACAAACAAAACTTTGGTAATTGCAGGGGGATAGTAACATCTCAGGTTCTGCTCATTTGGGAGGAGCTGCAGTTGCAGCCATTGCTTGGGCTCGGATTAGGAAAGGCCGCTTCCGTTTCTGAACCTTTTTGACCTTAACATTGCTTGGCTTTGGTCATCTTAGTAGAGAGAAAAAAACTATCTTCAAATGATTTAGCAAGTCTGAGACCATATTATGGATCACAAGATCATTAGATTCTACCATTCTATTTATCCAAACATTAAACAATCTGGTCTGTATTTGTTGCTGCTGAACCTAACTTATAGACTGATCCACTTTGGAACATCAACTCTCAATCATATTAGTTTGTTAATTAAGTTATTGAACAAGTCTAATCAAACTATGGAATGGATGGTGAATAATTATGGAATTGTTTTCTGATCTGAAAAATCAAATATGCTTATACTCATATATAACCTAAACCAAATCAATATTTTTGATGAAAAAAAAAAACCAAATCAATATTCAGGATTTAAAAAAAAAAAGTAGAAGTAACATTATCTTCAAGTATGTATAATTAGCCAATTAGGTTTTAATTTCAAACATGATTCCAATCACAGAATTTATTTATTTTTTGATAAAAATTAAAAGATCTTTGTAACGTATATCCTTGAGTCTCGGAGGGACCCATTTCACTATTTTAGGAGACTCTAAAGTCTAAACCCACCACTAGTTTATCAACACGTCATAAGAATGTGCCACGTCATAAGGAGCTTGCGCTTTGTCACTAATCAGCAAAGCGCTTAAAGTTTCCTCCTTTTTTTTTTTTTTTTGTTTTCTCTTCCAAAGAAAAAAAAAACCTAAAGCAAAAAAGAAAGAAAGGAAGCTCCTTTTATCAATCTGTAATCTCTCCAGAAGAAGATATATTTGGGTTAACGATTTTATCTCTTCCTTTCATTTTCGTTTTCCCGCACTTTCTCTCATCACCAAAGGAGAAAAAAATGAGGTGGGAAAGGGTCCGACAGCAACAAGTGGGTCTGGGTGGTGAGTCGTGTTCAGGGCCAGGGAAGAGGTGGGGACACACTTGTAACGCCATTAAAGGAGGTACCTTTCTCTACGTGTTTGGTGGCTATGGCAAAGATAATTGCCAAACCAATCAAGTCCATGTCTTCGACTCTGGTTTGTCCTCCTCTTCCCTCACACATTCATCTGTCTCTCTCTTTTTTTGAATTGTCCGATTTCGTTTTGATTAAAAGTGTCTGAATCTTTGTTTGTTTTGTCTTCTCTTGTCAATTTTGTTCATTCTGCATGTTGTCTTAATGTACTTTAATTAATGATTTGGATTTGATACTTTTGAGGAGGTGTTTTATTGTATTAATATGATGATTTTGAGTTGGTCTCTATTGTGGTGATTTTTGTTGCAGCAAAACAGATATGGACTCAACCGATAATCAATGGAACACCTCCTCCTCCTAGGGACAGTCACACTTGTACAACGGTCGGTGACAATCTTTTGGTGTTTGGTGGTACTGATGGAACTAAACCTCTCAATGATTTGTACATTCTAGACACTTGTAAGCTTTTAATCTTTAAAGCTTCTTCTTCTTCATGTTTGAGAAGAAGTCATATACTGAATTGGTTTGTTTTGTTTCCGTTTGTGGTTTAATAGCTTCACATACTTGGAAGTGTCAGAGTGTTAGAGGAGAAGGACCTGAGGCAAGAGAAGGTCATAGCGCCACTCTCGTTGGTAAAAGGCTTTTTGTATTTGGAGGCTGTGGGAAATCTTCTGATATTAATGACGAAATCTATTATAATGACCTTTATGTACTTAATACAGGTAATGTTTTTATGCCATGGCTTTCTTCAATTGGCATGTGAATCTTTTCCATTATCATCATCATTTCTTATGCATTGGTTGTGCTAAATTTTCTTTGATGCCAAGTCATTAAATAGGCTTTACGCTTGTGTAGAGACTTATGTGTGGAAACGTGCTGTTACGAGTGGGAATCCTCCATCTGCGCGAGATAGCCACACTTGCTCATCTTGGAAGAACAAAATCGTTGTTATTGGTGGTGAAGATGGACATGACTATTACTTGTCTGATGTTCATATCCTTGATACAGGTGCAAAAGCATTTCCAAAATTCATGTTTTTTTAACCTTACGAGTGTATGTGTTCTATCTGATGCAAGTGTTCATAAGATTTTCATTTTGACTTTCAGATACATTCGTGTGGAAGGAGCTGAATACTTCAGGCCAGTTGTTGACACCTCGAGCTGGTCATGTGACTGTTTCACTTGGGAGAAACTTATATGTGTTTGGAGGGTTTACAGATGCTCAGAATCTTTACGATGATCTGTATGTGCTTGATGTCGGTATGTAAACTGATAAAATCATTCAATACCAGAGTTTATTATTTGTGGGGGAGTTTATGTGTCTCTAAGATCTATAGCATATTCACTTCCTTTTTGTTTCTTTGTCGTTCTTACCTGTAGAGACGTGTGTGTGGTCAAAGGTTCTCACCATGGGAGAAGGGCCAGCTGCTAGGTTTTCTTCTGCAGGGGCTTGTTTAGATCCTCATAAAGCCGGATTTCTCGTCTTTGTTGGTGGCTGCAATAAAAGTCTCGAGGCACTGGATGACATGTTCTACTTACACACAGGTTTCCACCCATCTCTGCTAATTGCCAAAACTCCAGGCGTTTCCGTTCTTAACTTTTTTTCTTAAACTTTTTGGTTAACAGGACTTGGATATGATGCAAGGGTTGATCAGAGTGTAGGGAGCATGTCTCTAAAGAAGCAACTGAAGTTGAAATGCCAAGAACAAAGTCATGCAAGTTCCTTACACGATAACTCTCTTGTCAGAATCAATATGGATCATCAAGGTGTGTTTAAGCAAACTAGTCAAGATTAGATTGAAACTTTAAAATGTTAAATTTTCTTTAGCAGGATATCTCAAGCCTGTTTGTGATTGATTTTATTGTAGGAAGAGGGAATTTCGGTTTGAACACTGGCCAATTTGATCAAGGAAAGATGATGTTTCATGCCAGAGTAACCGAGACTTTCCCAGTTGGTTACAGTATAGAAACGATGATAGATGGTAAAGTGCTTCGAGGCGTTTTGTTTTCAACTAAGCCGAGCTCCGTACTGGCCACTGATCAAAGCTTTATTAGGCGAGTGCTTATCTTAATTTCTTACTTTTGAGGTTTTATCTGTTGGCTGCATTGTTTTGTGAACAGTTCTTTTTATTTTGTTATACAGAAAAAGGCCAGCTATGTCAAATGGTGATCAGGCCAACACATCAAAGATACCAAAAACTTTGAGCAAGGATCAAACTGGTGCTACTGAAGCTAAAGATCCTCCCTCAAACGGAGTGGATGGTGGTATTGGTCTCATCAACCCTCTGAACGTTAACATAAACACAGCGGCTGTGGCACCTCAGCTCGATATGGTGATTGTTTGTTAGTCATTGTTTCTCTTTAAAATGCCTGATTATGCAATCTACTTACTGGAAAATACTGATAATATGTGTACAGGGCACTGTGAATGCAGCTCCATCTTCAGTTGCTCAAACAGATGAAGCTTCTTTAGAATCTAGAAATGCTGTATCGATTGATGTTGAAGCTACCAAGACCGGACCTGGAGAGTCATAGGTACAGAAAAAACAAAGGTGGGCTTTAAGTCCTTGTGATTGAATTACTAGTTTACACAGCAGTAGGTGAATCCATTACATCTAAAGCCTCATTTGTTTCTTAACTCTGTTCTATTGAACAATTACTTTGCAGATGAGAGATTCAGCGCGTTACAGACGAACAAGGACAGCTAGAAGCATCATTTCTTTTCTTCTTCTGTACATTAGGCTGGAGATAGGATTGGGTTTAATTTAGAATCGAAGTTAGGTTCGGTGAGGATAAGGACAAGCTAACTAACTCTGAGTTAGTTCTTTTTTTTTTCTTCTGTTGGAGCTCTGCAATTTCTCTGTTTCATCTTGTTTTTGTTTTTGTTTAGTTTCAACTTGCAAGCAGTGTAATGCTTCCTCTAACAGTTCCTGAGTTTGTCTCTTTGCTTCTTTTACCAGTAAAGAACCCAAATCTTATACATAACTCATAAGAAATGCGTTATGAATCTGAACAGAAGTTTGAAGACCTGATCCGTAATTGCTCAATTGAATAACTTAGTAGTTAGATTTAAATGGTTGTGAATATCACAAAACTGACAATATGGGTGAGAAGGATGATGTTTATGTTCCTATGAATGAGGAAGAAGTAGAGATTGAAAGGTAAATATTGTAATATCTTTGTCACGTTCTGTCTTAATAGATATAATGTGGCTCAAGGAATTGCTTCACAAGAAACTGGAGATCTCTAAGATGGAGAAGCTTTGAGTTTGTCGAAGTCATTGGAGCGAAGGTTGAAAGCTGTCGAGTTTAAACATTCGGGAAATGATCTCAGAGCTCTTAAAGATATATTAGAGGCAATGCAATCAAAGAGTGTCTTTAATACTTGAAAGCAGCTGCAATGCTCAGACTCAGGAGGCTTACAGAAGTACAGAACCAGGTGATTCCAACCACTATGAGAGGACCAATAGAGATTATGAAACCTGTCAGTCTTGTTGAGAAATCTGGTATTCCTTCATCATCTCCCCTATTCACTACCTCCATATTCTCTTTCTTTCTGTGTCTTCTTTGTTTGGTGATTCATGCATTAAAACAAGTTTTGAGACATTACAGTTCTTCAAAACTCAGAGGAACAGACAGTAAGTATAACACAGGAACAGAATACAAGTTATGCTCTCATGGGGAGCTACAATACGTGAGTTACAAGCCAGAAAACATTTCATATCGCATCTTATTATAAAAGAAAGAGAAAAGAGAAGAAACATTGACATGGTTTAGTACCTGACAACAGTCTAGGATGTCAAACTTTTCACCTTATGGATGAAAGCATCAACAACAGAAAACCAAGCACGGCTCCACGAAGAATCAAAAGAGAGTGAAGCAAGTATACCTAGCAGTATTGTCACATAGGCTGCAAAAATGCTCCAATAGAAAGATACAATGTCAATCACATCTTCTTCCTCTTCTCCAACATTCGCTGGGGTTTCTTTCAAAGTGTCATTATCACAACTTCTGTTCGAGGGTTGTCCACAGAGAAGAGGATTACCAATATAGCTGGTTTCATCAAAGGTGCTAAATTGCCCTTTCACTGGAATGATACATGATAAGTTGTTATAAGAGACATTAAAGACAGCAAGACTGCTTAGCTTTGTTAGCTGACTAGGGATCTGACCGTGTAAGACGTTGAAGGATAGATCAAGGCTTTCTAAATCCTCCATACTGGAGAAATTTTGTGGGATGACACCTGATAAATGATTGTGAGAAAGATTCAGTGCTCTTATATCAACAAGATCTCCAAGTTCTGCTGGGATCTCACCACTTAGCTCATTCTCAGAGAGATCAAGTCCAAACATAAATCCAAGAGTTACACCTATGTAGGAATCATATCTTCTCTTTGCTGCAAACTGAACTTCCATCACATTGTCTGCCATGTACTCTACAGTAAAAGGATCTAACATAAGCTTAGATCTATAATACCTGCCTAAATCTTCCGTGGTAAAGAATTCCTCGTCTAGACCCATCCCACCAAAGATCTCACTAGACACGAAGATTACTCCAGCATCATAACCCTCTTGACCATCGTGTTGTAGAGTAGGGAAACTAAATGATATATTGCTAAAACATGAAGGTATAGATCCATTCAGTCTGTTGTTAGAAAGATCCAAAAGTTGGATGTTGCTTAAGCCACACATCTGGAAAGGAATAGAGCCTGTTAAGTTATTCCCTCGCAGAAGAAGAATATAGATCTTTAAGTTGCTGACGAACTTGGGGATATTACCAGACAATCCGTTGTTTCTAAGATCAAGTATGGAGACTTTTCCTCCCAGTACTGTGTCTGGGATAGTCCCTGAGAAATTGTTATCCTGCAGGAACAGCATCCTTGTATCAGAGTGGAAGCGGTGAGGTAGGTTACCAGATAATCTGTTTGCAGAGAGGTCCAACAACACAAGGTTGTATACGTCAAACAAAGAAACAGGTATTTGACCTTCTAGGTAATTGTTTGAGATCAAGAGCATAGACAAGTAAGATAAGTTGCCAATCCAGCTTGGGATAATATCTGTGAGATAATTGTTCGACATGTCAAGTGCATACATGTAGCTCGAGTTCAGCAAACCATCTCCAATCCTCCCTACAAACTGGTTATTATCCAGAGACAATACCTGCAAGGAAGTCAAATTTGTTGGCTCTGGAAAAATGTTGCCGCTGAGTTTGTTGTGAGAAAGCTTAAGAAACATCAAAGAATAACACCCCATTGTTAAACTCCTTCGTAGCTTTCCGTCGAGATCATTGTGAGAGAGATCCAGAAAGTAGATCTTTTTCATGTTGCCTAAAGAAGATGGCAGATTCCCTTGTAAACTATTCTTTGACAGGTTAAGGTGCCGTAGATTTGGAAGTATCCACCCAATATTATCCGGAAAGAGTTGACTGAAGTCATTAGCTGAAGCATCCAGCAAAAGGAGTCTATGAGCAGATTTGGGTAGCTGAAAGTTCGTAAACAAGTTATTCTGTAGAAGCAAAACTTCGAGGTTTGTATTGTTCTCCATTAGCCAAGAAGGGAATATGCCATGAAGTCTGTTGTCAGAGAGATCAACCAGACGTAACTCTTTTTGATGTAGGAGAAAGTCAGGAAGCTTTCCCAAGCTACAAGACCGAAGTGCAATAACATGTAACTGAAATTCTAGCTTCCGAGTGCTTTCTGAGTCCACTTGGAGTGAGTTGGATATTGAAGAAAGCTTGAGTACCTTAAGCTTTGAGAGGTTGGCAAGTGAACCCAACGAGAAGAAACCACGGAAGTCGTTATCAAACAGTGATAAGTACTCAAGGGATTCAATGCTACCAATAGCAGAGGGCACCTTCCCAGTCATTTTGTTTGATGAGAGATCAAGAACTCGGAGTTCAGTCAACCTGGTTAAGCATAATGGAAACTCACCTATGAGCTGGTTATGGCTGAGGACGAGCTCTTGCAAATTTTTCAACTCGCAAATCTCTAGAATAAGAAATTCATATATCAACATTTGAATTCACAAGCACCATTATTAATTGAACGTTGAAAGGCTTGACTAAACTTGCCTTGCAATTGCTCCCAGCCTGTAAATTCGTTACGACTTAGATCCAGAGCTTTCAACTTTCTCAGGTCAGCTAGACCTGCCATAAGACAAAGCCACAAAAAGGACGGTACTTACACGTGACGAGGATGTTGGCAGTGACAAGTAAAATAGATACTACCTTGTACAGGTGTGGAGTTGTCAAATCTATTTCTACTCAGGTCCAGCAGTTCCAAGTTTGTCAGATATTTAAGTTCTGGAAAGGATCCCAAGAGAATGGTAAGAAAGAACTGAAAAGACAGGTCTGCTAGATAACCTCATAAGAAATTGAAAAGCAAACCTTTAGCAGGAATGGGACCATCCATGTTGTTACCACGAAGAAACAAGTCTGTAAGTGATTTTGCAGAGCTGAGGAAAGGTAAGATTCTATTATCAAATTGATTTAAAGAGAGAACCAGTATCTTTAGGTTTCTTAATCTTCTTAGACTTTGATAACCTGCAAAAATAAAATCTTGTCAACAAGAGTTTGCATCACTGATCTTGAGATGGTATGATCTGGGAAAAGTCTGGTATACCTTCAGCGAAAGAGGCATTGAATCCTCCGAACCAGCTCTTAGATAAGTTCAGAGTTCGAAGGTCTTCAAAGGGATACAGCAAGGAAAGATTTATATGAAGAGGAAAACCTATTAAAGGAAGTTCATGGAGAGCAAGGCCAATAACCCGTCTAGTTGTACGATTACACTTAACTCTCTCCCACCTGCAACAATCACTCACTGTGTCATTACTCCAAGTATCAAAAGTGTAGTCTTCCTTGACCGATGAGAGCAGCAAGTATGTCTTGAGCTCCAACAAACCCTTCCTTTCTTTCTCGACACAGCTCTTGTATCTATGTATCTGCCCCATCACTATCATCACCCATATCAGAATATGAACTAGGAACAGTCTCCTCTGCATTGAAATGATCCAATAACCAAAAAGAAAACAGAAATTCTGGGGAAAAAGATTGTGAATCCAATATGTTGGAGAACCTCCATGTTTATAAGTATTCCTTCTTTATGAAATAAAAATAAACAAGTTGTAGAAAGAGATGTATTTTACAAAGTCAATTTTTTCAAGTCAACACTCAGAAGCATATGATATACCTGTGGCGTACAGCAATATCTAAATGGACCAAGCTTTGTGCAAAGCTAACTCAGACAAAGTCAATGTACTGACAAAGAATGTTATAATATTCTGTCATAGAATGTGGATACTAGGAGTCGCTTTCTGTTGATAAATTCACAAAATCATCTTCTGATTTTGACCATGATCAGTTTCTTTTAGATTAATTTCATTGCAACTTTCAAGCTTTGTTTGATTTATAATGTGAAAACCACCCAACTTCAGTCAGAAGCTAACACTTTTACCAAGCTTTAAGGTTAATCAGAGAGGTCTTCAATGGCAAATATCTACAGAACTCAATAGTGAGCTTTATAAAAAAAAGCAAGAAGAAGATGTAAACTATAAAACCTGTTGGGACTGGTGTAGTCTCAGATCAAATGCTCGTGTCTTCATCTCTCTCTCGCATCTTGATGAATAAAACCCATATTTTTCGCCATCAATACAAGCTCTGTTTCTTCTCTGTACATGAAACGCTGCGCATGAATCTATCTGGGGAATGGTAAGACGTTGATGATGTAATCCCGGGATTAGTGCTCGACTTAGAGAGGCTTCTCTTCAAGGATTTGGTAAGCAAGATCTTGCACGGTGAGATAAGCAAGAAAACGAAGGGAGATGAAGAACGGTTTTTACCAACAAGTAGATAAGCATTTCTCTGTATTCTGAAGCCGTAATACATATAGATACTACAAGTCAAAAGTCATGAAGCATCCTCCATATATAAATACTCGGATTATGAATTAAAACAAGTTTGAGACGTTACAGTTCTTCCAAACACAGAGGAACATACAATAAGTATAACATAGGAACATAACACAGGTTATGCTCTCATGGGGAGCTACAATACATGAGTTACAAGTCAGAGAATATTTCACATTCCATCAGATAAAAAAGAGAAAAGGAGAGACAGATAGAGGAGTTAGAACTTAGACCTGACAGAAAGTCTATGATATCAGACTTTTCACTTTATGGATGAAAACATCAACAACAGAAAACCAAGTTCGACTCCACGAAGAATCAAACGAGAGTGAAGCAATTATCCCTAGCAGTATTGTCACATAGGCTGCAAAAATGCCCCAGTAGAAAGACACAATGTCGATCATATCTTCTTTCTCTTCTCCAACATCCGCCGGCTTTTCTTTCAAAGTGTCATCATTACAACTTCTGTTGGAGGGTTGTCCACAGAGAAGACAGAAGAGGATTACCAAAGTAACTGGTTTCATCAAAGGTGCTAAATTGACCTTTCAGTGGAATGATACCTGATAAGTTGTTGTAAGAGACATTAAACACAGCAAGACTGCTCAGCTTTGTAAGCTGACTCGGGATTTGGCCGTGTAAGATGTTGAAGGAAAGATCAAGGCTTTCTAAATCCTTCATATTGGAGAAACTTTCTGGGATGACACCTGATAAGAGATTGTGAGAAAGATTCAGTGCTCGTATTTGAACAAGATCTCCAAGCTCTTCTGGGATCTCACCACTTAGCTCATTCTCAGAGAGATCCAGTCCAAACATATATCCAAGAGTTTCACTCATGTAGAAATCATATCTTCGTTTTGTTGCGAACTGAATTCTGATCTCACTGTCTGCCATGTAGTCTACAGTAAATGGATCTAGCATAAGCTTAGATCTATAATACATGCCTAAATCATCCTCGGAAAAGAAGTCCAAGTCGAAACCCAAACCACCAAAGATATCACTAGACCCGAAACTTATTTTATTACCAAAAGCATATGCCTCATCTTCATTCAATAAACCAAATGATATATTGCTAAAACATGAAGGTATGGATCCATTGAATCTATTTTTAGAAAGATCCAAAAGTTGAATGGTGCGTAAGCCACACAGCTGGACAGGAATATGACCAGTTAGTTTATTCCCCCGCAGAAGAAGAATGTAGATGTCTTGGCTGTTGGTGAACTCGGGGATATTACCAGACAATCTGTTGTTTCTTAGATCAAGTATGTTGACATTTTCCAGTAATGCGTCTGGGATAGACCCTGATAAATCATTATCTTGCAGGAACAAGAAGCCAAAGTTGGAGTTGAGGGGTAGAGGTATGTCGCCATCCAATCTGTTTGCAGAGAGGTCCAACAGCGAGATGACAGTCATGTCAAACAACGAAGCAGGTATTCGACCTTCTAAGAGATTGTTTGAAATCAGGAGCATGTACAGGTCAGAAAAGTTGCCAATCCAACTAGGAATAACACCAGTTAGATAGTTATTCGACAAGTCAAGCACATATATGGAACTCGAGTTCAGTAAGCCATCTCCAATCTTCCCCTCAAATTGGTTATTATCCAAAGTCAAGACAAACAAGGAAGTCAAGTTTGCTGGCTCCGGAAAAATGTGGCCGCTAAGTTTGTTGTGAGAAAGCTTAAGAAACATCAAAGAATAACAACCCATTGTTAAACTCCTTGGTAGTTTCCCGTAGAAACCATTGTGAGATAGATCCAAATAGTACATCTTCTTCATGTTACCTAGAGAATATGGCAATTTTCCTTGAAAGCTGTTCTCTGATAGGTTCATATGCCGTACATTAGGAAGTATCCACCCAATGTTTTCAGGAAAAGTTTGGCTTAACTCATTAGCTGAGACATCCAGAAGAAGTAGATTATGAGCAGATTTAGGTAGCTGAAAGCTCGTAAACAAGTTATTCTGTAGAACCAAAACTTCAAGATTTGTATTGTTCTCCATTAGCCAAGAAGGAAATACTCCATGAAGTCTGTTGTTGGAGAGATCAACCAGACGTAACTCTTTCTGGTGTAGGAGAAAATGAGGAAGCATTCCCAAGTTACAAGACCGAAGTGCAATCACATGTAACTGAAAGTTAAGCTTCCATGATCCTTCTGACTCCACTTGGAGTGAGTTGGATACTGAAGAAAGCTTGAATACCTTAAGCTTTGAGAGGTTGGAAAGCGAACCCAACGAGAAGAAACCATGGAAATCGTTTTCAAACAGTGATAAGTACTCGAGGGATTCAATGCTACTAATAGCTGAGGGCACCTCCCCATTTATTTGGTTTGATGAGAGATCAAGAACTCGGAGTCCAGTCAAGCTGGTTAAGCATAATGGAAACTCACCTATGAGTTGGTTATAGCTGAGGTCGAGCTCTTGCAGATTTTTCAACTCGCAAATCCCTAGAAGAAGAAATTCATAATGAACATTTCAATTCACCAGCACCACTCTTAATTGAACATTTAAAGGCTTGAGTAAACTTGCCTTGCAATTGTCCCCAGCCTGTAAAATCGTTACGACTTAGATCCAGAGCTTTCAACTTTCTTAGGTTAGCTAAACCTGCCATAAGACAAAGCTACATAAAGGAAAATACTTACACGTGACCGACCAGGATGTTGTCACTATCAGAGACAAGTAAAATAGATACTACCTTGTACAGGTTTGGAGTTGTCAAATGTGTTTCTACTCAGGTCCAGCAGTTCCAAGTTTGTCAGATATTTAAGTTCTGGAAAGGATCCCAAGAGAATGGTAAGAAGGAACTCAAAAGAAAGACATGGTCTGCTGGATAAATTTAAAAGAAATTGATTAGCAAACCTTTAGCAGGAAAGGGACCATCCATGTTGTTACCACGAAGAAACAAAGTTGTAAGTGATTTTGCGGAGCTGAGGAAAGGTAAGATACTGTTATCAAATTGATTTAAAGAGAGAACCAGTATCTGTAGGTTTCTTAATCTCTTTAGACTTTGATAACCTGCAAAAATGAAATCTAGTCAACAAGAATATGCATCACAGAACTTGAGACGGTATGAACTGGGAAAAGTCTGGTATACCATCCACGAACGAGGCACTGAATCCTCTGAACCAGCTACTAGATAAGTTCAGATTTTGAAGCTCTTCAAAGGGATACAGCAAGGAAAGATTTAGAAGAGGAGAATCTATCAAATCAAGTTCATGGAGAGCGAGGCCAATAACCCTTAGTGTTGTACGATTACACTTAACTCTCTCCCACCTGCAACAATCACTCACTGTGTCATTACTCCAAGTATCAAAAGTGCGGTCTTCCTTGTCCCCTGAGAGCAGCAGGTATGTCTTGAGCTCCAACAAACCCTTCCTTTCTTTCTCAACACAGCTCTTGTATCTATGTATCTGCGCCATCACTACAATCACCCATATCAGAATTTGAACTAGGAACAACCTCCTCTCCATTGAGAAATGATCCGGTATCCAAAAAACAAAACAGGAATTTTGAGAAAAAGTATTTGTGAATTCAATATGTTGGAGAACCTCCATGCTTACAAGTATTCAAGTTTCTTTCTTTATGAGAGAAAAAAAAAAACAAGTTGCAGAAAGATATGTGTTTTACAAAGTCAAATTCTTTCTAGCCAAGCATCGTGCATAACAAACACAGACAAAGTCAATGTACTAAATGGCTTCGTTCCAATTTTGCCTTCCTGTGAATCGCACCTGCTTCGAAACTCGTAGAGATGTTTAGGGGTTTAACAAAAAAGAAAAACATTTTGGGAAAAAATAAAGAAACAACTTAATCGCCGATCAGCTGAATCAACGGTTAATATTAATTGAGACGTTAAATCCACGGATTAGATCGTCCCGTGACGAAATCGGAATCTTTACATAAAAGCCAGGGTTTTTCATTTCCAGCGACTTCTCGAGATTTTAATCATTCCACATAGAAAACCCCAAAAGGTGTGTAATTTAATCTGCTTTCAAGGTTTGAATCTCTATGTTTAATCCGGGTGGATCACTGAACATTCGCTTGCTGATCCTAGCTAAGATTTAGATATGGATCCGACATGTGTTTTGTCTGTGTGTTCGTTTCTCTGTTGTGTGTGGTGCAATAACGTGGGATCAGTGAGTTAAAGTTGTTAGCTTTAACCTGATTCTTATAGACGTAATGGATCTTTCATGAGCTTTTCGCCTTGTGAGCACCAATCTGTCTACATTCTTGGGTTTGTTCTCTTTTGAGAATTTGTCTGCTGCTTACAGATTGAAGAAGATGCATTACATGGATATGTTTAGTAAAGCTGGGAACATATTTAGGCAGCCTAGAGCTTTGCAGGCTGCCAACGTAATGTTACAGGGCAATCTTTCTTTGACTCCTTCCAAACTCTTTGTTGGAGGTTAAATAGACTCCAAAACTTTGAGACAGAATCTTCTCTGTTGGGTTTTGCTTGTCTTAAAAATCTCATCCTGTTAGCCACCTCTTCTCAGGTCTCTCACCAACTACTGATGTAGATATCTTGAAAGATGGTTTTGGCAGATTTGGCAAAATAGTTGATGGTATAGCTTTCATTTTCCCATTGGTTTGTCTCGTCTTCCTCATTTTTGCTGACTAATATATGTACTTTTGTTTATCATAGTGGTTGTGATTTCGGACCGTGAAACTGGTGTTTCGAAGGGATTTGGTTTCGTAACATACGATTCGATTGATGCTGCTAATAAGGCAATGCATCAGATGAATGATCAGGTTTTACCAATTATTCCAGCTTCTTTGGTTATTAAAAGTTATGCCATGAGTCTAGTTTCTTTCTCGCTTTGCTTTCTTTCATTACCCTTAAGATCTTCTGATGCTACGACATAGTTTTCCAGTATACTCGTTTGTGTATTATCTCATCTAGCTAGTCTACACATGTATCTCCTCTTTGTCGATAAGAAAGTATATATATCATTGGTGCTTCAGACCTCTCGTTCTTACTTTGCTTGGTTTTGTCTATCCGCCATTTATAGAGTTTCTTGCTTAAACAGGAACTTGATGGACGAATAATTGGAGTGAACCCAGCTGATTCAGGAGGCGGTGGAGGTGGTTTAGCAAGACGGGGTGGTCGTGGTGGTGGCCGTGGTGGGTTTGGTCGTGGTGGATTTGGACGTGGTGGCTATAACTTTGTTCGTTAACTTTGCATCCAGAATGTGTACCACCAAGATTGATTAGTCTGCTTTTTGATTTTCTCTTCACCAAGACCAAAATTTTGTTATAAATTCACTGAAGCTTGAACAAACAGATCAAGTGGCTAAAGTTGGTAACAACATTTATTGATTCAATGGAGTGTCACACATTCAAAGGACAAGAAGTACAATTTTTTGAGATGTGAATAATGAGTTTAGCTCAATGAGACTAATCACTATAAATAGAGGCACTTAGTCCAACGAGTTTATGAGAGGTTCAAACTTGAAAATAAGCCAGTCTGCTTGTGCTGCTACAGCTTCACGAAGCTGAACCCCTGCGTAGCATATGAACAAATCTGCGCCACCAGGTTTACGTGCCTGCAAGTGAATTAGTTTTTAGTTAGTTGCTCATGTGAGTTCTCTTAAATTCTCAATTAACAAAAAGCTATGCTTACTTCGAGATCAGTAGCACCATCTCCAATCATGGCCATAGTCTTGTAGAGACGACCCTGAAAAGAACTAAGTCTCATCAGTACATAGTGTTGTATTCAACAAGAGATATGGAGCTTGCATAGTATGAGAATTTTGATGAACCTTTCGTATTTGTTGCACTGCTTTGGCTTTGCCTCCACTTCTTGATGTAGGTTCGTTCTCATCAAAGCCCACAAACTCGCCAGAATTTCCAAATAGAATATTGTTGGCAAAAATATTCTCTCGAGGGATGCCGAGAATCGACGCTACAGGCTAGAGTGAAAAGAAGTTCATTCAAAACCTTATCACCATCATTCAAGTAGTCTACACATGAACAGATGCAACGAACATGAAGAAACAAATGAAATGAGTGGAGAGTTAGAGAGAGATAAAGTACATTGATCATTTGTCGAAAACCTCCAGATATTAAATAAACATCAATTTTATTGGCTCTGAGTTTCTTGACTAACTCTTCAATGCCAGGGGACAGTCTACAGAAACCAAGTATGATTAAGACATTCAGAAGCATTATGGACCTGGCCTATTGTTCTACATTCAGAAACAGTATGATTAACCACTCTTTTGGTCAAAGTCTATTTGAAGACATGATCTCGACTAATGGAACACTTGCAAGTTACAACTTACAAGTAAACTTTTTTTTACATGTAAAATGATATCTGTAAGTAGAGTGAGTCAAATTATCAACATATGCAAGGTGAGTACCTCGGGGGTCTCTTTTGGAGATATTCCTCAACTTTGGAAAGAGAAGGTTTAAACAAAGAAAGTCTTGCGGCTAGAGCTTCTTCAAATGGAACAGATCCACCCATTGCTCTAAGAAAGCAATACTCAGTATGATAAGCTCAAACAGACTTACAATTATCTGAGAAATCTTAGCATATCTGTATAAATGTGCGTTGAGATGGAACAAAAACCTGGCAGTCCATTCGGCGACAGCCTTTCCAGCTCCACAAAACTCTGCAAGTTCATCAATACCTTCATCCACACAAACCGTGCTATCCACATCGAAGCATACGGCGTCAACATCCCTCCAAAGATCGAGAATTTCTATAAAAAATACAGCAGTAGAATCTCAGCTGCTCAACATACATGATCTATAACAATTTCAGAAGCTAAAAACTTAATTTTCATATAACTCTTTCATCATACATCCTAATAATATACACCTGCATTAACAATTGCACAACCTTTTACTAAGATGTTATCTTTTTTTTTTTTGAATTATACAGAGGTATCCTGGCCCCACATAAGTGGTCCAGACTAGCCACGTGTAGACACGTGTCGGTCCTCTGTCCCTGGCGATGCCGAAATGTTAATTCCCCAGTGGCCGGGATTCGAACCCAGGTGGCGGTACTCACAGCTGTAAGCCCTTTACCACTAGAGCTAGAAGCCCCGGTTACTAAGATGTTATCATCCCTTAGATTCCAATGTACTAGGCAGTAGTTACCTTTAGAAGGAGTAACGTTTCCTTCGTGCCCCAAAGCTGACAACTCCTGTGGTTGCACAGAAGCAGACACTGGACGGAGAAATTTGGGATGGTCCATGATTGAGACACGCCCACTTCTACAAGGATACCTTTTAAACTCAAGGCGAGAGAAATCAGCAGAAACAGATGAGAGCCTTCTACAGGGAACCTGAAGTGGCACAACCCGGGAACTAGTTAATGCTTCCATCAAACTTGGAGAGCTGCTAACTACAAGAAAACAAACAATTCCCAATAAAGTATTAACATTTAATTCGACCCCTTCTCACTTCATATAATAAGAGCAGAAACCAAAAGGACATTTTATCATAAAAATGAGACTTGGAACAGCTAAAACGTAAAATGAAAACATGTTTAAACAATAACCAGGTGATAAAGAAAGGACTCCAAGTGATCTATCTAATCGCTAATCAAGTAGAGATGAAAGCAGAGAGATCTAACGATGTAAGATTGGGATCAGAGATCTGCACCCGCGAGGAAGAAGAATAAGAAGAGACAATAAAAGTTACCAAACCGGAAAAAAACGCCGGCTGCTGTTCAGTAAGATCGGATTAGATTAAATTAAATCAAAACAAACTGTCACTTCCGAGAAGAGTGTTGTTAAGTTGGTGGAACCGCCAAAATGACAACTTTGTCCTTACTTAATTTAAGATTAAACAGTAAATGACACTTTTATCCTCTGTGTGATAAAAATCGTTCGTTTATCGTCGCCGGTCAAACCGCGGGAATCCGAGGGTCGTTGTTACACAAAAACGAGAAAGAGTTCGAGAAACTAAAAACAGTCAGATCTTTGTCTTTCTGTCTCTACAACAAAGCAATGGCGATTCTTCACCAGAAAAAAGAAAACTAAAAAGATTTGCTCTTTTTGCTGACAAAGTAACTAGTTTTTTTAACAACTCCGGGGTGAACCTTACTTAAAATAAAATAAAAATTTACAGTTTTTTTTTTAATATCAGCCAAGTGGAAACCAGCTAGTAAAACCAGACAAAGATTGAACAAAACAAGTCCAACTAAATGTCACTCTCTCTCGTTAAAAGATTCCATCATTACAGTAGTGACTAGTGAGAGAGAGAGAGAGACTACACCCACCCACATGATCTACATTCCAACTTAGTTGTTGTTTAGTGGTTACTAGCTCAACAAGTAGAAGAAGAAGGCCAAGAGTCCAGATACAAAGAACGTGGTGTCTCTTGGGTTATGGAGTTTGAATCCAGAGGATGGATCTGTGTAATCAGGGATTCCAGACGGGATACCCAAACCTCCTCCTGTTGATGATGATGTGTAGGGTCTTGTATTAGTTGTCGTAGGGACTCTTGTCGAAGGTGTTGTCGTCACTGGTGTCGTTGTCCCACTTCCACTGCATCATCAAATAATCGACACAACAACAACAAAACAAACACACGATCTCAAAATAAATTACAAAGGAAGAGAAACAAGTGGTCAAGAAAGAAAGAATGATGTGTATACATACCTTGCACTTGCTGGAAAAGGACAAGAAGTGTAACCTATTATCATATAAACACCACAAGAGACAACAAGAGGTTACTAATTAAATGTATCTTCTTAATTCTGTAAAGAGAATCTTGTGGTGTTAATTAAATATTTATTATTAAAGATAATATATAGTTTGTATATCAACATCATTCACATTGTAACATGTGAAGTTTTAGATTTGGTATATACTTTTACCTAAACTAGTTGAGTTACCAACTTTCTCAACACATTTTTTGACTTTAAATCTAATGAATGAATGTAAGATGTAGTGGTTGGTGGGAGAGAGATTTTACTTGGATCAGAGGCTGAGACGGTGGCTGTGCCGGCGAAGTCACAAGTCCCCTGAGACTGACCTTTCTTCTGGAAGAAGCTGTTGACAGCGTAGGAGCAGTGAGACTTGACGGTGTTTGGGTTAAAGCAAGGTCCATTCTGGTGAATGGGTTTACAATCAGCTCCTGCACCACATGCGTAGTCCAATGTCTTCTGCAGCATTGCTTCACTTAATCCTTCTCTGCATACACACCATGTTCCACCTACACACACACACATGACCACACATATTTCTTCAACTCTCATTCACCGACTATGTGTGAAATGTAAATTAAATGCGTGATTAAAGAGGGAACAAGGTTGTTCACATAATTATTCAACTCTCATTCACTGACTATGTGTGAAATTAAATGTGTAATTCAAGAAGGATGGTACTCCACATAAAAAGGCACACCTTTTGTGAAAAAAGGTATGAGCCAAGCAAGAGAGGGTTCTTTTTTTTAGAAAATTTCATAGAAACTATGAAAAGCTAAGAATTTGGAGACCTTGTTCTGTACTAAAACAGAGTTGGTTAAAGGGAGCATTTGAGAAAGAAAAGGATAAAAAAAAAAGAAGAAAAATCAATTTTTCTACCAGCAAAAGAAGAGGATCTCCCATCCATATGATGGGAGATAGAGAGAGAGAAGTATTGTTTTATTTCAACTTTGCAGGAGCTGGAACAGAGAATATTGTCTTACTTGAGTGACCAACTATAGCCAAGAAAATCACAGCAAAAAGAACAATAACCGCCATCGAGATGCACCAGAGCTAAGCAGAGGATTTGGACGTAGCTTGTTTCTCTGAGAGAGAAAATGGAAGAGGATGGAGAAAGGTCTTGAAGCTAGCAAGAGCTGTGAGTAGAGAGAGAGAAAGAGAGACACTGCATTGAAGAGAGTGAGAAAAAGAGAGACTTTTTTGCTTAGATCCTGCAGAACAATGATGTCTTTTAGTTATTACACTCACACTCTCTCTCTACTCTCAAGTAGTACAGTATATATACACATATCACTAGGAAAATATAGGAAAGAAATACGGCTAACTAGTAGGAAAATGTATATTTTTTTTTTTTTAAAAGCCATACATTATTTACAGTTACATAGCTCCAAAAATCTTTCTTTTAAGACATTTTGCAGCTACAAAAGAGAAATGTAATTAATGTATCACTTTGATGTATATATGTCACCTAAAATTAATGATGACAACTACCCAAATCCTGCATTGATGTTGGATGATTACCAAATCGAGCGTGGATCACCCATTCCCATTCCCATTCGTACCAATTGGATCTTTCTGATTCAAAGTTATTACAGTAACCATCAATCAACGTTTCAATAGGAAACTTGCACACACACCCTCTTAATCAAATAGAGGCTTACGAATGTTAACCATGCATCAGTAACGGCTACCACTCTTCTCTGTCATAGCCTAGTAGATGTAGCCCATCTTCCTCCCTTCGTACCATATGACTTCATCTTGAGTGTTGACTCCCTTGATTTTGATTAAGGGATGTGTGTTTGATACAGGTTCAAAACAATGCAGTCAAGAAGCAGCAAGAATCTAATCAAAGACCTATTATTACAACTTCATTTCCAGTGTGCACTGCTAAAGAGTATTACATAAGGTTGCCAGCCTCGGACAAATCATTCGAAGACCTAAATAAACTTCAAAGGGACTATATTTTGACTTGTAGCGCAAGCCAAACTAGATTTTACCAAGTGATATCAGAAATTGTAATAAAGGCTAACACCTCTTGTATTCAAGTGTACTCTCTCTGGCGTGCTTTGCTCTCAAAGATAAGATAGTGGAGAAACCCTACTTAACTGTGGTCCATGGTCGTTGATAGTGGCCTTGTAATAATCCCTTTGCATCTATGATGGACCTAAAAAGCCCATGGATAATCTTCAATCTAATTTGCTTAACTGATTAAACCCTACAAACATGTAGCGCCTCATCCGTAACCGGACACTCTAAGAGCATCTCCAATGTATTACTCCATTTTCTACTCTAAAATGGAGTAACTCCAAAATGCAGTTGAGTTTTACTCCAATGTATTACTCCATTTTCTACTCCAAAAGAATATTTTTAATATTATATTTATTTCAAAATTAGGAATATCACCTTTCATTTATACTATTTTCAAAACAGTCCATTTTAAATTTATATCATTTCAATTAAATACAATATTAACCACAATTAAATTTTTATTATATAAATAAAACTACTCAACAAGGCTTTAAAAAAATACATTTAATACATTAAAAATTACATTATATAGCTTAAACACAATAATTCATCAATTCTAAATTATTCATTAGAATTATAATAATTTTCCCACAAATGATCAACTAATGCATTTCAAAGTAAAAAATGAGCTTCTTTATCTTTGATTTCTCTGAAATCGGAAAGAAACTTTTGGAACCTCACATTATTATTTTCTTCAATTTCAGTTTTCCTTGACATGACTTCTCTTTCAACTTCAATTGGCACCTCGAGATCACAATCATCTTCTATTATCATGTTATGTAAGAATTTAATAATATTTTATCAGATTATTTTAATAATTTTAATGGATCCGAAAATGATTTATCGGATTATTAAGCAATTATATTTGTTGTAAGTTTTATTTTATGTTATTTCTTTTGTATGGTGCTTATCTTTCATTTTCTATATGTATGATCTTTTATGTTTTATATTATATATATTATGTTGTATAAAAGAGTTCATCAGATGGTTATTTATATAATTA